CCGTAGATGTCTGAGCCTCAGTAGTCGCATCCAGTATGTGAGGTCAGTCATCATGCCTGACCTCCTATATGGGTCTAACGCCTTCTCTTCCTCCCTCAAGGTTTCGCAGCTTGATCGCCTTCAGGTCCTGCAGAACCGAGCGGCGAGAGCGGTATACGGTTTGCCGCCTCACACCTCGGCTCAGCCTCTGCTCGAACGGATGTCCCTGTACAGAGTTCGCGAGTGCTACGCCCATAAGCGGCTCGTCCTGGTGTGGCGCTGTGTCAATGGGAAAGCCAGCAGTGTCCTCCAGGACCTATTCTCACCATCAGCTGGCAGCACCACCCGGCACCAGGTTTCCAGGGGCCTCACTGTCCCTTCGGCACAGTCAGAAGCCGGCAGATTTCGCCTGGCCTTTCAGGCAGCCTTGGCCTGGAACGCTCTCCCAAGGAGTGTAAGGGAGATCAAGGCTGCCCAGCAATTTAAGCTTGCCTCCATCCCCTACACTTTGCAATGAATGCTCTGTCTGACTTTTCCCGTCCACACACCACGTCATTTACTCTTCTCTGCGTGCTTGTGCGCTTATGAACTCTTTGTGTTCCCTCTGTTGACGCTTAAAAATCGCTCTATTGACACTGCAAAATCGCTCTGTTGACGCTGCAAAATTGCTTATCATCTCCCTCCCTCCCTCCCCCTCTCTCTCTCTCTCTCTCTCTCTCTCTTTCTCTCTCTCTCTCTGTCTCTCTCCCTCTCTCTCTCTCTCTCTCTCTCTCTCTCTCTCCCCGTAGCTCTCTCCCTTTTGAAATTCGCTTCCATAGAATTGGGCACCATTACCCATTTGGCCTTGCGAAGCAAAATAAAAATCAACAACAACAACAGCCAAGGGAGCTAGCTCTCTTGGTTATGCTGGTAGAAGGACTGGGTCCGACCCACCGTCCGAGGGGATCCACAGGATTTCCTGTGGATATGAGATCCCCTCGTTTGAGGGGATTATGAGCCATAATCCCCTCAAACTAGGGGAAATATCCGTCGATCACCTGAAAAGGGAGGTCTATGTGTACAGAAGGAGAATGTGTTATCGTTGCAGTTGTTTGGTGTCACACTTCGTGAAAGTGTGACAAGTGCTTCTTGATGTGTTCAACGTGTTTGTCTACAACTTACAGCTGTTTGGTTTTGAGTTTTTAACACTTTAATCATTTTATCACCTATGTTTTTTCTTTCTTTCTCTATAGTTATGTGTTTTTCAAATTTATAACATTCCCTGTACTATCCTGAAGAGAAGGGAAAGAAAACGTTTGATAGAAAGGAAGTGTCTACTGAATTGTGTGGATTTTCGTCGTCACATGCGAATACTTATTACGAAACTGTTTTCCACCGCCTCCAAACTACTGTTTGAATTATGAATTATTATTATTATTATAGTCAATTTTTTCTTCAGACTTTTCCCGTTTGTCTCTTTCCCTCAAAACCAGTTAATATTTGGCCCAGAATCTGCGAAAACCAGGCTTAGGGTGAAAATCATTTTTTTGAGAAAATTGATGTTTTGTAAAAAGGTTGTGTCGCGTGGACGATCGAGTGCAGTGAAGTGGAACCAAAGAGAATCTCGCTTGTTTGAAGAAGTAGTATTCATGGCAGGAAGGGTTTCAGCAGTCAGGGAAGTCAAAGGGCTTCCGGTAGAATATTCCCTGCTACTCCTCTAGTCACAACGAAGAGTTTTTGAGCTGATCGAACGGATTCTATCTCCTACACTCAGGAATGGCGAAATTTCTGCGCTAGCTGCTGCTTGCGGAAAATGGTGAAGAAATCGTCTCCAGTTAGAGTCGTGATGGCGATAGCGAGGAGAACCTGGACGACATCGATCCAGCCAATCGAAGTACGGAGATACTAGCTGTTTCTGAGCCTCACGCAAAAGGAACACGCGCAGCAGAGCTCATCCGTTTGCAGCAAGTTCACGAGGAAAGAGGCTTGAAGCGCAGTGTGAAAACTGTTTTGAATTGATGTCCTTGGCGATGAAGTGCTACTGAAGGCCAGGCGAATGAGTGTCTGAGTGAGCAGATCGAGAGGCCCCCACTCGAGACTTTCCTCGCTGGTCAGCTAGCTGCAAGGGATTGTACAGCGTGCCGATATTTCACATGCTGGTCAGCGCCAAGCAGATACTGCAGCACGCCAGCACGCTATGCGCTTACTATGAACAGTCAGTGGAACAGTTTGAAAGGCTGTGTTCTTGCTTGTTAGTGAACAGTTGTACTAGATTCACCCGTCAAAAGGTGCCATCTCAACTGGAGTCGGGTTTCCTTGTGGTGTGTAGCGCCAGAGCACACCAGTACATGTATTCAGCTCCAGAATGTGCTGAGTGGGGAGCAAACAAAATTCATGCAGAACTGTGCATGGCTACTACAGCCTGCAGCACCAAGACTAGAGGCCACAACAAGCCTGCCCCCACATGTACATGCCTACCTTGTCATGTCACCTAAACAAAAATCATCCATGTCTCTTCATTCAGTCTGGTGCATCTCTCTTCATTTCTTTCCTGTGATAACAATTTTGTGTTTTTTTGGGATTTTTTAACACAATACCCTAGTGTGTTTGAGATAGATTTAATACCACTATTAGTCGACCCACACCTGTAATATTTTGTTTCCTGACCTCCCATGCCCAGTAGAAGCTGAAAATGGGAAAAAGTCATTTTGTGAAATTTCACCCTAAGCCTGGTTTTCGCAGATTCTGGGCCATTTTATGACTTGGGGCTCCCGGCGTGCTAGTTTGTACGTGAAGTGTGTGGGTACAGTGAGGGCTGCGTCCCACCCGCCTGTGTGGATTCACAGGAAGTGTGAGTTACGAAGTCTGAAGAAAACGTTGAACGGTCTCTGCTTGGATGACGACTTCACCATAGCTCAGTGGTTAGAGCATCGCTGGCTACAAGCGAGGGTCCCTGGTTCGAGTCCTGGTTGTGACAGTCAATTGTTTCTTCAGACTTTTCCCATTTGTCTCTTTCCCTTAAAACCAGTTAATTATTATTATTATTATTACAAAAAATGTATTATCTACGCATGCATCTACGCAAGAGTCACCACCACCCAATTAGGGCATGTGTCAAAGTATTGAACGTTTTCGTTCCCTTCTTGTCAAAATACTACAGGGAATGATGGAAAATAAGCTAAAAGACTACAACTATAAGGAAAAGAAGTTCAGAAATATATCACTCAAATTATGTGTAGAAGTGACACGAAAAAATGGATGTGAAGAATCAAGAAAACAGCATGCAAATCCAATAAGTGACAAAAACGTAGTGACAAGAAAAAAGAGAGAAATATCAAGAGATCTATTTCTTTACATCTATTTTTTCGTGTCACTTCTACACATAATAATTGGAGTGATATATTTCTGAACTTCTTTTCCTTATAGTTGTAGTCTTTTAGCTTATTTCCATCATTCCCTGTAGTATTTTGACAAGAAGGGAACGAAAACGTTCAATACTTTGACACATGTCCTAATTGGGTGGTGGTGACTCTTGCGTAGATGCATGCGTAGATAATACATTTTTTGTAATATTTTCTGCCTCCGTCCTACTTTCAAATTATTATTATTATTAGGAAATTAGAGGCCACATGCCACGTACTGCTCTGTGGCCTCTAATTTCCTAAAACTTTGAAATTCTCCGTGAAGTCCAAATTTGAAATTGTAAAATATTATTATTATTTGAAACTCGGGTATTGGGCCAATAATAAAAGTAGAAAGGAAAAGGACATATGGAAACGAGTTAAGAGTAACTCTCCACCACTGTAACTAGATACTATATACAGTCAGAAAGTGCAACAACTACGCACAAAACTGACAGAGTACTGAGACATTCGAGTTCCTGACACCTAGCTTCAACACATCTCCGTAGCGCTAACCGACAGCCTTCCAACTTGGAAGGTTCAAGGTTATGGAAAGACCAGAGAGGGGAAGGCAAGCGCAACGAAAACGAGCACAAGCCACAGTCCCAACGGAACAAAGAATGTCGATTGTCACTGGACGATGACGAGACCAGTAGGCGATTTGACAAAGCGGTCTAACTACAATTCGAAGCAGCAAAGCAGCTCAGTGGTTAGAGCATTGCTCATGACAAGCAGGGTCCCAGGTTCGAGTCCTGGTGGGTCTGGTTTTTTTTCTCTTTTCAGGCAGTTCACTTCCCCGAGTGATCCTTTGAATTATTATTATTATTATTTATGAAAGGATTGGGAGAACTTCAAATTCTAAGGAACAGTAGGGGAAGTGAACTGCCTGAAAAGAGAAAAAAACCCGCCAGACCCACCAGGACCTGGTGGGTCTGGCGGTTTTTTCTCTTTTCAGGCAGTTCACTTCCCCTACTGTTCCTTAGAATTTGAAGTTCTCCCAATCCTTTCATAAATTTATCACTCTCTTTCAGTTCTGGTAGGGTCCAGAAACTGACCGTGGTTGGTCCCCTGGGGGGGGGAGAAAGACCCAAGTGCCATCAGTATGTGTGGCACGTGTTGTGAGCTGCCTTTGGAGTGAAAAACTTGTCAGCGCCTTCTAGGTTCAGCCCGGTCCCATAGCTCAGTGGTTAGAGCACTGCTCATGACTAGCAAGGTCCCGGGTTCGAGTCCTGGTGGATCTGGCGGTTTTTCTCTTTTCAGGCAGTTCACTTCCCCTACTGTTTCTTAGAATTATTATTATTATTATTATTAAAAGTAGAAAGGAAAAGGACATATGGAAACGAGTTAAGAGTAACTCTCCACCACTGTACCTAGTGCAACAACTAGGCACAAAACTGACAGAGTACTGAGACATTCGACGTCCTGACACCTAGCTTCAACACATCTCCATAGCGCTAACCGACAGCCTTCCAACTTGGAAGGTTCAAGGTTATGGAAAGACCAAAGAGGGAAAGGCAAGCGCAACGAAAACGAGCACAAGCTACAGTCCCAACGGAACAAAGAATGTCGATTGTCACTGGACGATGACGAGACCAGTAGGCGATTTGACAAAGCGGTCTAACTACAATTCGAAGCAGCAAAGCAGCACACCACCCAACTTGGGTGGGTCAAAAATATCAAAGATAAGTTAAGAAGGGGGAAGCTTTGCGAGAATGAATTGTACAAGCCGAAATCTAAACTCTATTATTGGCTCAATACCCGAGTTTCAAAATATTATTATTATTATTATTATTAGCATTCCCGCGTTGAAGTGCAGCAGCAGTATGCTGCGTCCACAGCTTCCCTTGTGCAGAATGGCTTGGTTGAGAGGAGAGGGGAGAGAATGCAACAAGGCAACCAACATCTATGAAATAGGCCACAATAACATGAAGAGAACCAACCTACATATGCATGATTGCACAAGAATGGAGGCGACTAATGGCTATAATCATTGTGCCACAAAACCGGTACACAGGAGATCTGTCGACAATGTAACGAAACATAAAACTCAGTTAATCAATACAGGTTCCACTAAATTACAAGAGAACAACGCTACAACAATAGAATTGCCGCTAAATTATCGCAAGTATAGAGAACGAGTCCAATACAAATGAAAACCATGAACAGACCGTCCCGAAGTCATTTTGGGAACAAATTGTAGTACAATGTCATGTAGTTGCTGACACTGACGCTGACGGAACACGAATTTGAGTTGAATACTCACGAAGTTTTGTACAATGTACATCAGTATGCGCCGGTGTTGTGGAGTACCGGTAAGCAGGTACGTCAGTCACCAATCCAGCTTCAGCTCCGTGCTCGCTTCAGCAGAATGTTGCCCGCGTTGTCTTCGCCTCCACACGGATAGACGACCAGCGCAGAGTCCCGCAGCTCCGTGGCCGTAAGGTCCTGATATTCGCCGTTAGTGCCGTCAAGTCTCAGTCCACCTCTCATAGCAAGCCGCTCTATGAAAATCTTTCTCTCTCCATTGGAGTGCTCCCCAGTTGGGCGAGGAGACTAGAAACATACCTCCGGTGAGCGAGGAAGAAGAGCGGAGTTACCCAACTCAACCAACCAAAAACACACACAGAATAGTCTAGGCAAACGAGCAATTGATAAAAAAATAAAAAGGAGAAACTTGTTGAAAATGCATCCAATGCCGATAGGATGGTAGTTGATTCTAATTGAATTGCTAGCGAAGCAAAACTGCAGAGACATTGACAATTTCTATACCGATATTGTAACTTCTAGTAAGGATCTGAGGTGACCTTCTTCAATAGCTCTTCAACTGAACGGTGGCCGATGTTTCGCGCCTCGTCCAATGGAGTCTCGCCAGCCTAAACACAAGACAGTTGCAATATACACATAACACACCTATCAGTACAAACATCATGTCATACAGGTACTTGTGCAGTTGTACTCCGTGAAATCCCACCCAAAGTACATATTTGGCGCCATGAACTAACACAGCCCTTGACGCCCAGAATGTGATAAAAATGGAGCTGGACATACGCATGTGCAAGTGCAGTGATGTAATTAGAACTGGTCCAGGGTGTCAGTTTTGCACTTTAGGCTGGCTTTCAATACTCACAACTGTACTTGGTCACTGTCTTAATCTGATCCCTCCCGGGTTATTCAGTAGATTCTGAGGTGACCTTCTTCAATAGCTCTTCAACTGGCCGTTGTTTCGCGCCTTGTCCAGTGGAGTCTCGCCAATCTAAACACAAGACAGTTGCAATATACACATAACACACCTATCAGTATAATTATACATCGTGTCATACAGGTACTTGTGCAGTTGTGCTCCGTGAAACCCACCCAAAGTGCACTATTTGGTGCCATGAACTTGCACAGCCCTAGACGCCCAGGATGTGGTACGAATGCAACTGGACATACACATGTGCAAGTGCAGTGATGTAATTGGAACTGGTCCAGGGTGTCAGCTTTGCACTTTAGGCTGGATTTCAATACTTACAACTGTGCTTAGTCACTGCCTTAATCTGATCCCTCAAGTGTGATTCAGCAGATTTTGAGGTGACCTTCTTCAATAGCTCTTCAACTGAACGGTGGCCGTTGTTTCTCGCTTTGTCCAATGGTGTCTCGCCATCCTAAACACAAGACAGTTGCAGTATAAATTACCACACCTATCAGTACATACACCGTGTACTTGGTCACTGCCTTAATCTGATCCCTCCTGGATGATTCAGGAGCAATTTCGGAGTTTGTGTTTTTGCCGCTTTCAAAATGGATTCTTTGCCTTTTATCCTGCATGTGTAATTTAATATCGTACTCGTAACGCAGGTTCAGTGAAACCCAGCCTATTTACGCACCTGCACATTCGTAGTACATACCTCGTACGGTGTTACTGTCTTATGATCTGGAGAAAAGTTGCCGTCAACTGAATCCGCCCAGGGCCAAACCAAGCGGAGTTTAGCATGCACTCTGAAAACTGAAGGGCACTCACGGCATCTCCGACATGTTGATATGGAGTAGCGCAAGAAAAAAAAGGAGGAGGAAGGCACGCAGAAGTCTTAGCTTCCATGCTTCTGTTCTTTGATCACGAAAGCAGTTTGTGCAGCTAAACCCGACGTGAGGGTTCATGTACGTAAATCTTGTATTCACATCTGGAATGCTCCCGGATGATTCACCACAATTTTGGAGTTTGCGTTTTATGGCTTTCAAAAGGATTTTTTTTTAAGGAGAACTTCAAATTTCGAAGGATCAGTCGAGGAAGTGAACTCTCGAATCCGGGACCTTGATTGTTGTGGGCAACGCTCTAACCATCCCAACTTATTAACCAAGCTGAAACCAGAAGGCGCTGACAAGCTTTTCACTCCAAAGGCAGCTCACAACACGTGCCACACATACTGATGACCCTCGGGTCTTTATCCCTCCCCAGGAGACCAACCGAGGTCAGTTCTGGAATGTGCTACCTGAATTGAAAGAAAGGGATTAATTTTAAAGGATTGGAAGAACTTCTAATTTCAAAGGACCAGTCGGGGAAGTGAACTGCCTAAAAAGAGTTAAAAAATGCCAGATCCACCAGGACTCAAATTCGGGACCTTTTTTTGTCATGAGCAAGGCTCACAAATCACTTTCGTTCACCTCTGGGAATACGTTCCGGAAACTGCCCGTGGTTGGTCCCCCAGGGGAGGGAAAAGACCCAAGCGCGACCAGCATGTACAGCACGTGTTGTGAGCTGCATTTGGAGTGAAACACTTGTCAGCGCCTTCTGGGTTCAACTTGGTCCCATAGCTCACATGTTTAGAGCATTTTTGGTAAGTTCCGGTTAAGTTTGGTCGCATTATGCAGGTGCAACATGGCACATGGTACACTAAAAGACGGTCGCTGGTCGCGCAAGGCAGGTGCAGTTTCTGTATAGTACTGTCCATGCATGGAAAAATGGCCGTTGAAAGCAGGTGGCAGCTAAAACCAGAGGTCGCTTACACCAGGTTTTACTGTAGAGTGAAATCTGGCCAAGTTCATACGTCCGCAGATTTGTAGTACATGTCTAGTATGGTATTACTTATGATTTCCGGAAACTTTACCGTCAACTGAATCAGCCGCGGGCCAAAACCTAGCAGAGATGCCCATGCACTCTGTCAACATGTTGGGAACTCACGTCTCCGACAGGTTGATGTAGAGCGTCGCAAGAAACAAAGGAGTAACGTGAAGCACAGAAATCTTAGCTTCTGTGCTTCTGTGCTTTGCTCTCAAAACCAGTTTGTGGAGCTAGTGCACGCACATTCATGCACGGAAAATTGGAAAATTGAAAATCCTGTATGCACGGCTACAATGCTCAAGTTGCTATGTGCAAGAAAGGAGCCTGCGCTGTGCTAACCTAAAGCGATGTATGATACAATATAGTTCGGACTGCTTTTCGGTTTGCGGCTCATGCGCCTGAAGTTCTCCTGTCTGCTTCTCACGAAGTCGTTCCAAGTTCTCGTCCTTCGACATACTAGCAGCTCATACGTGTACTGGATGGAACACAGATAATGTTCCGTCTGCACCTGCTCAGGTGAACGGGTTCTGGCGTGATGGCGATACTCAACCATATACCAACCTTGTAAGCAATGGCCATGAGGCCAATTTTAAGAATAATAGACACAAAACCCCTGGCGCAAAGATCTGCACACATTAAAGTGTTGAGGAGGCAGTAAATTTGAAAAATGTCCCCCTGTGACATGATTCCCATTGGGCAAAGATCAGGGGAACACATAGGTAATTTGTTTTCCTTTTAGATCGTACAGTGTAAGCACAGAACATGATCATCATTGTTCATGGCACTCTATATACTGTTCTTTACCTCATTCCTGATGTTGCAGTCCGCCCCTGCAGCGAGCAGCGCTTGACACACATCGATTGTACCTCTCATGGCCGCATTGTGCAACGGAGTGTCGCCATCCTGGAAGCACAGGTAAGAAACAACAAACCAGAACTCAGTCCCACTAGGCTACATAATAGATCACAATGGTACGTTCGGGCCTGATTGGAAATTTTTATTTCCATTGCTATCAGGTTCGGCCTCATTTCCTCTGTGCTGCGCTGATGAGTTCAAAAAGAACGAAACAGCATGCTGTCCGCAGATTGAGTAATAGATCACAATCACAATTTTAGAACAAAGCAGTCATAACAATTGAGAGTAGAATGCAAAAGTTGACAACTTGACAATTTATCTCACATTGTCTCATTTCGTACTTTCACTCAGGGCTAGCGATTGACAATTTATGAGTGACAATCCAGCGAATCCAAGCTAGTAAGCAAGGTGAAAAGAACTTGGGACGCTCAATCTACTTGCATGTTGAGAGCGTAAACATGCAAAACCTTTCCATGAGCATAGCATGGGATAACGGAATGAAATGGACCAACAAACGTTCTTCCACAGTTCCGCCTTTGATAGAATTCCACTTGTTGCGGTGAACTTTTAACTGGCTTCGAGTCAGTGCATAAAAAATGTGTTCAGGTTATGACAGATTCCAGTTGGGACAGGGTCAGAGAAACATTTGTTTTACTGCACATCCAGAACCCAATACTAACCCTTTAAGAGCCACAGGAAAATTTCAAAATTCTGCATTTTTTCGTGTTCCTTGGGTCATAGCTTCAGTTCTACTCACTCAATCCTCACAATCTAGGGCTTCCTGGAAAGGTCTCCGCGAGACGAAGAGAATGAGGTCGATCATGATCGCCGGCACACCGTCTATCCAGCGCTAGATCGCAGCGACAGTACGAAAAATGCCCCAAATGCGTCCAATTGCGTCCCGCTCCAGAGATTTCATTTTGCTCGATCGTGGAGTTCCAATTTTTTCGCTGTGTACTCTTGACAATATCAACAGTGGAACCCGTGCAAATTCGAGTAAACCAGCGTGACGAAAAGTCTCAAAATTCTCAATACCAAAGTCGCACTGCGCGCTTTTGAAATTGCCGCGATCGCGGCTCAACTTCCGAGTGATTTATCTCAGGAACCGTAGCTCGCAGCGCTTCGCGGATTGTTTCTCCCGACAGGTGAGAGTTTTTTCTTTGCCCTGGATATTTTGATCACTGGATTTGAGCGAGATTGGACTGAGTTACGATCTTTTGAAGTTTTGCATTTGAATGCGTCGTTTACGACGCATTCAAGTATGGGGCGGCTCTTAAAGGGCTAACAGTAAAACAAAGGTTTCTCTGACCCTGTCCCAACTGGAATCTTGTCATGACCTGAACATATGTTCATACACTAACTCAAAGCCAGTTAAAGGTTCACCACAAGTGGAATGATATCAAAGACGAAACTGGGGAAGAACCTTTGGGCGAAATCCTGCTGTCTACTTGAAATTGTTCAATTTAATTCCGATTCATACTATGCTCATGCAAAGGTTTTGCATGTTTACGCTCTCAACATGCAAATAGATGGAGCATCCATAGTCGTTTTAATGTTGCTTACTAGCTTGGATTCACTGGATGGTCACTCATAAATTGTCAATTGCTAGCCCCGAGGGAAAGTTCAAATGTACAAAATGAGACGATGTGTGGGATAAATTGTGAATTTGTGAATTTTGGCATTCTACTCTCCACTGTTATGACTGCATTGATCTGCACTTGTGATTGGTATTTAATATGTAACTTATTGAGTGCTTTTCGCGGACCCCTGTTTCTTTCCTGTGCTTCCAGGCTGATGAAACTCCGTTGCACTGTGCCACCAAGCAATGCAATATTCCAATTTGCAAAATCCTGCTCGATGCCGGTGCCGAGAAGGACATCCACATAATATTATGTTCAGGCCATTAAAAGATTCCAGTTGTTACAGGGTCAGAGAAACATTTGTTTTACTGTACGTATTGGGTAAAAAGTGAAAACAGTACATACACCGGGCACTACACTCGACACTGCACCCTTACACTATTCTGGATGTTCTTCTCGGCACCGGCATCGAGCAGGGTTCTGCAAATGTCGATATTGCCTTGCTTGGCAGCACAGTGCAATGGAGTGTCAAAAGCCTGGAAGCACAGGAAAAAAAACAGGGTCCGTGAAAAGCACTCAATAAGTTACATATTAAATACCAATCACAAGTGCAGATCAATGCAGTCATAACAGTTGAGAGTAGAATGCAACAGTTGACAAATTCACAATTTCTCCCTCACATCGTCTCATTTTGTATGTTTAAACTTTCACTCAGGGCTAGCAACTGACAATTTATGAGTGATCCTCCAGTGAGTCCAAGCTAGTAAACAAGGTGAAAACGACTGTGGATGCTCCATCTATTTGCATGTTGAGAGCGTAAAAATGCAAAACCTTTGCATGAGCATAGTATGAAACGGAATTAAATTGACCAATTTCAAGTAGACAGCAGGATTTTGCCCAAATGTTCTTCCACAGTTCCGACTCTGATATAATTCCACTTGTGATGAACTTCTAACTGGCTTTGAGTTAGTGTATGAACATAATGTTCAGGTCATTCAGGTCATTCACATATGTTCAGGTCATTCAGGTCATTCACATATGTTCAGGTCATTCACATATGTTCAGGTCATTAAAAGATTCCAGTTGGGACAGGGTCAGAGAAACATTTGTTTTACTGTTTGTTTTTCTTCAGACATTTCCCGTTTGTCTCTTTCCCTGAAACCAGTTGATATTTTATGACTTGGGGCTCCCCGCGTGCTAGTTTGTACGTGAAGTGTGTGGTTTACAATGAGGGCTGCGTCCCACCCGCCTGTGTGGAGTCACAGGAAGTGTGAGTCACGAAGTCTGAAGAAAATGTTGAACGGCCTCTGCTGGGATGACGACTACACCATAGCTCAGTGGTTAGAGCATCGTTGGCTACAGGCGAAGGTCCCTGGTTCGAGGCCTGGTAGTGACAGTCAATTTTTCTTCAGACTTTTCCCGTTTGTCTCTTTCCCTCAAACCAGTTAATATTTACTGTTAGTATTGGGTAAAAAGTGAAAACAGTACATACACCGGGCACTACACTCGAAAATGTACCCTTACACTATTCCGGATGTCCTTCTCGGCACCGGCATCGAGCAGGGTTTTGCAAATGTCGATATTGCCTTGCTTGGCGGCACAGTGCAATGGAGAGTCAAAAGCCTGGAAGCACAGGAAAGAAACAGGGGTCCGCAAAAAGTACTCAATAAGTAACATATTAGATCACAATCACAAGTGCAGATCAATGCAGCCATAACAGTGGAGAGTAGAATGCAACAGTTGACAAATTCACAAGTTATCCCACACATCGTCTCATTTTGTATGTTTGAACTTTCACTCAGGGCTAGCAATTGACAATTTATGAGTGACCAACCAGTGAATCCAAGCTAGTAAGCAAGGTTAAAATGACTCTGGATGCTCAATCTATTTGCATGATGAGAGAGTAACCATGCAAAACCTTTGCATGAGCATAGTATAAAACGGAATTAAATTGACCGATTTCAAGTAGACAGCAGGTGTTTGCCCATAAGTTCTTCCCCAGTTCCGACTCTGATATAATTCCTCTTGTGGTGAACTTTTAACTGGCTTTGAGTTAGTGTATGAACATAATATTCAGGTCATTCAGGTCATTCACATATGTTCAAGTCATTCAGGTCACTCACATATGTTCAGGTCATTCACATATGTTCAGGTCATTAAAAGATTCCAGTTGGTACAGGGTCAGAGAAACATTTGTTTTACTGTACGTATTGGGTAAAAAGTGAAAACAGTACATACACCGGGCACTACACTCGAAACTGTACCCTTACACTATTCCGGATGTCCTTCTCGGCACCGGCATCGAGCAGGGTTTTGCAAATGTCGATATTGCCTTGCTTAGCGGCACAGTGCAATGGAGTGTCAAAAGCCTGGAAGCACAGGACAGAAACAGGATTCCGCAAAAAGTACTCAATAAGTTACATAATAGGTCACGATCACAAGTGCAGATCAATGCAGTCATAACAGTGGAGAGTAGAATGCGACAGTTGACAAATTCACAATTTCTCCGACACATCGTCTCATTTTGTACGTTGGAACTTTCACTCAGGGCTAGCAATTGACAATTTGTGAGTGATCATCCAGTGAATCCAAACTAGTAAGCAAATTGGAAACGACTCTGGATGCTCAATCTATTTGCATGTTGAGAGCGTAAACATTCAAAGCCTTTGCATCAGCATAGTATGAAACGGAATTAAATTGACCAATTTCAAGTAGACAGCAGGTGTTTGCCCATAAGTTCTTCCCCAGTTCCGACTCTGATATAATTCCTCTTGTGGTGAACTTTTAACTGGGTTCGAGTTAGTGTATGAACATAATATTTTGTTCAGGTCATTCAGGTCATTCACATATGTTCAGGTCATTAAAAGATTCCAGTTGGGACAGGGTCAGAGAAACATTTGTTTTAATGTTAGTATTGAAAGTGAAAACAGTACAAACACCGGGCACTGCACTCGAAACTGCACTCTTACACTATTCTGGATGTTCTTCTCGGCACCGACATCGAGCAGGGTTTTGCAAATGTCGATATTGCATTGCTTGGCGGCACAGTGCAATGGAGTGTCAAAAGCCTGGAAGCACAGGAAAGAAACAGGGTCCCCGAAAAGTACTCAATAAGTTGCAGATAAGGTCACAATCACAAGTGCAGATCAATGCAGTCATAACAGTGGAGAGTAGAATGCAACAGTTGACAAATTCACAATTTATCCCACACATCGTCTCATTTTATACGTTTGAACTTTCACTCAGGGCTAGGAAGTGACAATTTATGAGTGATCTTTCAGTGAATCCAAGCTAGTAAGCAAGGTGAAAACGACTCTGGATGCTCCATCTATTTGCATGTTGAGAGCGTAAACATGCAAAACCTTTGCATGAGCATAGTATGAAACGGAATTAAATTGACCAATTTCAAGTAGACAGCAGGATTTTGCCCAAATGTTCTTCCCCAGTTTCGTCTTTGATATAATTCCACTTGTGATGAACTTTTAACTGGCTTTGAGTTAGTGTATGAACATATGTTCAGGTCATTCAGGTCATTCACATATGTTCAGGTCATTAAAAGATTCCAGTTGGTACAGGGTCAGAGAAACATTTGTTTTACTGTACGTATTGGGTAAAAAGTGAAACCAGTACATACACCGGGCACTACACTCGAAACTGTACCCTTACACTATTCTGGATGTTCTTCTCGGCTCCGACATCGAGCAGGGTTTTGCAAATGTCGATACTGCATTGCTTGGCGGCACAGTGCAATGGAGTGTCAAAAGCCTGGAAGCACAGGAAAGAAACAATGTCCGCGAAAAGTACTCAATAAGTTGCAAATAAGATCACAATCACAAGTGCAGATCAATGCAGTCATAACAGTTGAGAGTAGAATGCAATAGTTGAAAAATTCACAATTTATCCCACACATCGTCTCATTTTGTACGTTTGAATTTTCACTCAGGGCTAGCAACTGACAAATCATGAGTGATCATCCATTGAATCCAAGCTAGTAAACAAGGTGAAAACGACTCTGGATGCTCCATTAATTTGCATGTTGAGAGCGTAAACATGCAAAAGCTTTGCATGAGCATAGAATGAAACGGAATTAAATTGACCAATTTCAAGTAGACAGCAGGATTTTGCCCAAAGGTTCTTCCCCAGTTTCGTCTTTGATATAATTCCACTTGTGGTGAACTCTTAACTGGCTTTGAGTTAGTGTATGAACATATGTTCAGGTCATTAAAAGATTCCAGTTGGTACAGGGTCAGAGAAACATTTGTTTTACTGTACGTATTGGGTAAAAAGTGAAAACAGTACATACACCGGGCACTACACTCGAAACTGTACCCTTACACTATTCTGGATGTCCTTCTCGGCACCGGCATCGAGCAGGGTTTTGCAAATTGGGATATTGCATTGCTTGGCGGCACAGTGCAACGGAGTGTCACCAGCCTGGAAGCACAGGAAAGAAACAGGAGTCCGCGAAAAGTACTCAACAAGTTACATATTAGATCACAATCACAAGTGCAGATCAATGCAGTCATAACAGTGGGGAGTAGAATGCAACAGTTGACAAATTCACAATTTCTCCCACACATCGTCTCATTTTGTACGTTTGAACTTTCACTCAGAGCTAGCAAGTGACAATTTATGAGTGATCATCCAGTGAATCCAAGCTAGTAAGCAAGGTGAAAACGACTCTGAATGCTCAATCTATTTGCATGTTGAGAGCGTTAACATTCAAAACCTTTGCATGAGCATAGTATGAAACGGAATTAAATTGACCAATTTCAAGGAGACAGCAGGGTTTTGCCCAAATGTTCTTCCCCAGTTCCGACTCTGATATAATTCCTCTTGTGGTGAACTTTTAACTGGCTTTGAGTTAGTGTATGAACATAATATTCAGGTCATTCAGGTCATTCACATATGTTCAGGTCATTCAGGTCATTCACATATGTTCAGGTCATTTAGGTCATTCGCATTATGTTCAGGTCAGTTGGGACTCCAGAAGATTCCAGTTGGGACAGAGAAACATTTGTTTTACTGTACGAATTGGGTAAAAAGTAAAAAGTGAAAACAGTACATACGCCGGGCACTACACTCGAAACTGTACCCTTACACTATTCCGGATGTTCTTCTCGGCACCGGCATTGAGCAGGGTTCTGCAAATGTCGATATTGCCTTGCTTGGCAGCACAGTGCAATGGAGTGTCACCAGCCTGGAAGCACAGGAAAGAAACAGGGGTCCGCGAAAAGTACTCAATCTGTTACATATTAGATTACAATCACAAGTGCACTTCAATGCAGTCATAACAGTGGAGAGTAGAATGCAACAGTTGACAAATTCACAATTTATCCCACACATCGTCTCATTTTGTACGTTTGAACTTTCACTCAGGGCTAGCAACTGACAATTCATGAGTGATCATCCAGTGAATCCAAGCTAGTAAGCTAGGTGATAACGACTCTGAATGCTCAATCTATTTGCATGTTGAGAGCGTAACCATGCAAAACCTTTGCATGAGCATAGTATGAAACGGAATTAAATTGACCAATTTCAAGTAGACAGCAGGATTTTGCCCAAATGTTCTTCCCCAGTTTCGTCTTTGATATAATTCCACCTGTGATGAACTTTTAACTGGTTTCGAGTTAGTGTATGAACATACTTCCTCCGCGTCATCGAAATTGTCGCAGTTTGACTAGTGACTTGTCACTTGTTACTGACAACTCCAGAAGCTAAGCCATTCGAAACTTATTACACAGTATGATAGTCTGAAGACTAGAGTAACATTCCAGGACAGTTGGACTGAGAGTTTTCATGCAGAGATGAAGTCCTCGTCGTCGTTGATGTCAATGGACGCAAAAATATCGTTCTGAAATATTTCAAGGAAGGTTGAAAGTTGGTCGCGCCTCATCTCAAACGCTTTGACTTTCTCCACAGGACAAGAGCTGCTATGCTTGTCGTCTGCTAGCTCTGGGTGATTTCTACTTCACCACCAACGAAGCCTAGTAAGAATACACGATCGTTGCAAGGTCGGTTGATTACCGTCGGCGGAATCACCTCGATCTTGAAATGAACTTTTTTTTAGCCGTGGCATGCCTATTTATTTTAGCTGTGTGGTCACAGCTCATGCAGGTAAGTGTACTATCACCAGATCACGTCCAGTGCGCCCTCTTTTTCTGCATCACTGGTATACCCTGGTACGACACCTGCGCGTGCATCACTAGCACTACGTGTAGAGTCTACACGGCTCTTGCAGGTACAATCATGTACTGAGTGTCTCAGCCAGAGCAACAAATTTTATCGCTGTTGCAGGCATTTAGTTTGCTGACCCCTCGATGTTTCTCCAAGCGCTGCCACTTGTTCCACGAAGTCATTCTCACCCCAGCTAAGGTAAAACAGTGATGAGGCTTGAGTGAATGGCCATAAGCACGAGAAATGTGCAGGCTGCAATGCCTGACTGATCTCAGCGAGTCGAAATTACCATCGCAGCGACATCAGCGAAGAAATTGCGTCTAGTTCAAAAATTCCAGCTTCCAACAACAGAAAATAGAACTTTGCCGTCACCCTATACTGATGACTATCGCCTAGGTCCGATTCCTTGCCTCTGGTACGAGTGCTGGTGAGTATATACCCCGTTTTATATCAAAAGTCAAACTGCGACAATTTCGATGACGCGGAGGAAGTATGTTCAGGTCATTTAGGTCATTCACATATGTTCAGGTCATTAAAAGATTCCAGTTGGGACAGGGTCAGAGAAACATTTGTTTTACTGTTAGTATTGGGTAAAAAGTGGAAACAGTCCATACACCGGGCACTACACTCGAAACTGTACCCTTACACTATTCTGGATGCTCTTCTGGGCACCGGCATCGAGCAGGGTTTTGCAAATGTCGATATTGCATTGCTTGGCAGCACAGTGCAATGGAGTGTCAAAAGCCTGGAAGCACAGGAAAAAAACAGGGTCCGCGAAAAGTACTCAATAAGTTACATATTAGATCACAATCACAAGTGCAGATCAATGCAGTCATAACAGTGGAGAGTAGAATGCAACAGTTGAAAAATTCACAATTTATCCCACACATCGTCTCATTTTGTACGTTTGAACTTTCATTCGGGGCTGCCCCACTCATCCCGGCCTTAACCCCCCGCAGTCAAATCCTGGACACGCCACTGACAGCCACAGTACACAGTCCTGCAGTAGGTCAGCAGCAGCCGCCACAGTCAGATGTTAGATGGCAGTGGCAGTCTGACATCACACAGCTCGTTGGAGCTATACTGGCAGCAGTATACATGCAGAAGTCCTTGTACACTCCATCACAGTGACATATGAACGGCTATATGACTAGGCAAGCTGGTGGAAAAGATCTGCCACAGTTTTCCAGGCAGCCTGAAGAATGGCTGATCTTCAAAAAGATGTTCAAGACAACAACCAGGGACTTTGGGTTTTCGCATGCGGAGAACCTGCGCCAACTGCACAGTGCGCTGAGGGGCAAGGCCAGAGACGCAGTTCAGGTCATGAAAAGATTCCAATTAGGTCGGGGCCAGAGTAACTAATATTTTACTGTATATTCTCACTGTATGTATCACCGTGCACAACACTCAAAAACTGTGCTCTTACACTATTCTGGATGTCCTTGTCGGCACCTGCTTCGAGCAGGGATATGCAAATGTCGATATTGCCTTGCTCGGCGGCTTTGTGCAATGGAGTGTCACCAGCCTGTAAGCACAGGCAAGAATCATTGGTACAGGAAAAACACTCAATAAGTTGCGCAGTAGTTCACAATCACAATGGTAGATGAACGTATAATGCCACAGTAGACAAAATCGCAGTTTATCTCCCAAATCGTCTCATTTTGTACATTAGAACTTTCATTCGGGGCTAGTAATTGGGAACTTGAGTTTCGTCCCAGTCGTCTTCAACCGCCATGTATCTCCTCGTCAGTAATCCTCGTCTCGTCTTCAACCTCGTCTCGTCTATGTCAACCTCATCTCATCTATGTCAACCTCGTCTTGTCTATGTCAACCTCATTTCGTTCAAGTCATGCAGGTCAGCTGTTTCCAGTATTTCTCTCTTTCTTTCTCGTGTGTTCTTCTTCGTCAAATTTATTTTTGTCGCAGTAATGTAGTTAGTGTGTGTTAGAATCCACCGATCACACTGCCATGTTTGCACGCGCCACGCACCACTGCATCAGTGCATTGCGCACTGCACTCACACTGCCAGCGCAGAGATTTGGGCGCGCTTAGCCTGACGTCACACAACTGCTTTCTTTGCACTTTCTCTTTCTTTCTTTCTTTTTTTACTAGCAAACACAGCCCTACTAATAATCAGGGGAAGAGGACAACTGAAATGACACTGGACAACAAGACAAAGGGGAGTAGGGGCGATGTGCCGATGTGGTTGGCGAGGCTCATCCGACCGGAGGTCTCGGAATCATAGCCTACGACCAGGCATCGACTCTTGCTGTTGGCTTCACTTCGAAGTCTAATTAGTGGTGACTTTTAGCTTGTGCCAGCATCAATTTTTTCAGCTCTCTAAGTTTGGCTTCTAGCTTGTGGTAGCTTTGAGAAACTAATTAGCCAGACGCTTCGATTGTGTTCAGCTCGTACTGTTGGTGCCTGAAACAATGTCGGCTATTGTGCATCGGATGCGGGTGGCAGAACTGCGAGCCGAGCTGGACAATCGAGGTCTGCTGACCACCGGAAAGAAATCCATTCTGGTTCAGAGATTGCTGGACGACATGGAGCAAGAAAACCTGGGTCCAACTCAACCTTCAGCAAACGACTCTGCCGAACCAACTGTGGATACATGCGAGGTGTTCGCCGATCCCCCAGGCACCTTGGATCCGACTGGTATTCGTGAACTTATTCGGGCTGAAGTTCGTTCTGCCATCACAGACGAGGTTGGAGCCTCTCTTCTATCGCAGCCAAGTACGGCACCAGCGCCACCAGCTGCGTCATCCGACATTGGCGTGAGTGCTGCGTGCTCCACACCGCCTCACGCCGGAAATCTGCACGTCCCAAAGTCGGCGCAGGATAGGATATTGCGAGGTGAGTTTGTGGACTTTGACCAATTGTTGCCTGAGATCTTGGGGGCAGTTGATAGCAATAAGTCGTTCGAGCTCAGATCCAGTTCATCCAGGGGTGCACTGGAAGTCGTAGAGGTGAACACCACTTGCCCGGTTCATAGACGCGTGCACGATATCGCCACTTGGTTAGAAGCATGGTCTCTGTATATGCATGTTGTGATCAGCAATGCACCCCACCACACAGCAGAACTCCTGTCATACCAGTGCATGATCTTAGCGGCCAACAGGCAGTATTTTGCAGAAGCTTGGCTTATGTATGACCAGCAATTTCGAAGGTTTGTCGCTTCACAACCTGGCAAGCGCTTTGATACGATTGACATAAATACATGGCAGCTGTGCATCACAGGCAAGGCCAGGCATAGATGCCGTTATCTGCCAAAACTTTAACCTTGGCAAGTGTAGCTGGTCAAATTGCCGGTTCGCCCACATCTGCAACCGCTGTGGCAAGGACCACCCCCGCAGCAAGTGTTCCGGCAAAGGTCAGCGACCAGCCCAGTAGTTCTGGATTGCAGTCCCAGTCTGAGCAACCAATAGCTGTTGCATGTGTACATAATTTTCTTCCCCTTCACATTAATAATTCCTCTGTACATACCCCTTTGCATGTCTCTCTTTTTGAGCTTCTATTGCGTCATCACCCCGATAAAGAATTTGCTTCCCATGTGCTAAACGGGCTGCGCTACGGCTTTAGCATAGGTTTCACCGCTTCACGCGACGTTTCTGTCCAGTCTGCTAATCTGCCATCTTCTGCTGCTTGTGCCTCCTTTATTTCTGACCAGCTTTATGCTTCTTACCAGCATGGCGAAACTGCTGGTCCTTTTAGTGCAGCACCGTTCTCCTTCATGTGCTGTTCTGGTGTCGGCGCGGTACGGAAGAAGAACGGCAAGCTTCGTATGATTCACCATAACTAGTTATCGCTAGCCCCGCCGGGAATAGTGTGAACGACGGAGTTCCAGCTGACCAGTTTTCCCTGCACTACATCAGTATTGACGATGCAATCGAGTCTATTATGTCCTGACCTCAGCCGGTGTACCTCCCAAAGCTGGACATCAAAAGTGCATTCCGGCAAATCCCAGTTCGTGCCGAAGACCACTCACTACTCGGCATATTTTGGCAAGGCAGCTACTACTATGAGCGGGTGCTACCGTTTGGGCTTCGCTCCAGCCCAGCCATTTTCGATTCCGTTGCCTCGGCGATAGAGTGGATTATCCGGAACCATTTATCCAATGCCGACCTATTCCACTACTTGGACGACTTTCTAAACGTCACAACTGGCCATACTGTCGCCCAGCGTCAACTAGCAATCCTGCTGCGGGCCTTCATCAATTTGGGCGTGCCGCTAGCGAGATCACTAACGTTTCTTGGCATTATTCTGGACTGCGAGCGGCTCGAGGCAAGGCTCCCCATGGACAAGCTCACCGACCTCCGATCGCTATTGGCCAGCATGATCAACAGTTGGAAGATATCCCAACGCCAACTCGAGTTCCTATTCGATAAGCTCTCATTTGCTGCCCGTGTCATCACTCCAGGCCGTACCTTCATGCATCGTCTGTGGTCCGTCTGCTCACTGTTTCAGCAACCACACTACTCAATAACTTTTACCCAAGAATGCCTGGATGACCTGCTATGGTGGATGAGGCTACTTAGTGAGTGGAACGGGAAGTTCTTCTCCTTGCACCGTAACTGGACCCATCACCAGATCTCCAGCTATACACAGATGCAAGTGGCACTCACGGCTGGGGTGCTTACAACAACAGGAAGTGGATTCAAGGTTCATGGAACAGCACCCAGATGCTGCAGTCTATCAGGAGGTGTCTGGGTCATTAGTTATGATGTTGTGCCATGGAGAGTTGCGAAGGAAAGGTTGGAGGCGATGCCAGTCCACACTCTTGTAGCGCCAGACAGTTCGCGTTGCTGCAGGTTCCTGGCAAGGTAATATGCCTACAAAGTCGGATAGCACCATAACGTGGTAAGAACGCCCAATAGGGGGTGTGGTGGTTGTCAATACTGGAGAGTTGAAGGCAGACATCACGAAATCAAGGGTGTTGTCGCCACGAGTAGGAGTCCGAACATGCTGAGTAAGAAGGTGCGCGGCACGAGTGGTGTCAAGGTCTTTGCCCGCCGGTGTGGTAGTAGAGATGTTCAGCGAGGCACGGTTGTGAACGTTAAAGTCCCCAGCAAGAATGAGACTAGATCCGTGTTGACGGGCCAAAGGAAGGGTGTCGTCGAGATAATGGATAAGTGAGAGGTCACCAGGCCCGCAAGAACCCAGCTGGTAGACAGCTCCCAGACAATCTTGGCGCTGAGCTGGATGGATTCTCACAAGACGTAATGCTGAGGAGGGGGGGGGGGGAGGGGAGGGGGGGGGGGCAGTTCATCGATGATCAATGCTGGGAGAGTAGATCACACCCAGATTGCAATGCCACCACGGTTTGCTGTGCGGTCAAGCCAGAATGGAAGGCTATAGCCCGGGAATATCGTGTCCGACACTTGGACATTCTCTGTGGTGAACTTTGTTTCAGTTACCACTGCGACGTCAGTGTTGTGTTGTAGCAACGCGTGCTGGAAGTCGCCTAGCTTGCTACTTAACCCAAACGCATTTGTGCACAAGAGGCGAAATGGAGCAACCATGGAAGAAGTAGCGTGGAGAAAAACGAAAAATCCCCAAATGTAAACCTAGAGCTAGAGTTCCTAAGGCCGCGGTCAGACCAAGTGCGAATCAGCCATTCAGCAGAAAAAGCGCTTTTTGACGTCTTCGTTGCTACAGAAACGGCTTAATTTTCGGCTTCAGCCGTTTTCAAAGCGCTAATTTGGAGCGCTGAATGGATTCATCCACTTTCAGCCATTCTGGCGCAGTCGCGGGAAAAACAAAATTGTGCAAATCAAAAGCACATCTTGCCATGGCACATGGATGCATCGTGTTCTGAAATATTCCGGCTTTCGTTGTTTGTTTCGTTGTTGGTCCAACTTTTTCATTGCCTGCTGTTTGTTATTGTCCCCATCTTTCCTTGTGCGCTTTCTACAAGGTATGATTTTGGTTCGGCAGCGTCAGACAAGGGGGACTATTGTGCGATCGAAGCATGCAGACAACAGCACGGCGTCTAGTTCAGGATCCATGGCTGCACTTCAAGCTCAAACCTCCCTCAATCTTTCAAACAAGCACCTTGATTCCAATGAAGCTCCCAGTGCAGTACCAAAACTCTGCTGCAGCGCTGATTGCCGCGTACATGTTCAACAGAAAATAAAAATAAAAATTAATCGTAAAAATTCAAAAAAATCAAATTCAAAAATGGACTCGAAGAAAAAACCTCTACAGCACGCAAACAAATCAGCGGATCTCATGGGTCGATGTGACCAACCACTTCATTCAGCATAAGCCACTTTCAGCACAAGCTGATAACAGCTTGTTTCGTGTGACCGCGGCCTTAAAGCAAAATGTCCTAATAACGTGTTACTAAGATTTAAAAACTCCACATGTTCTGCTTCCTGCTTGCTGGACCACTTCTCGTCTTCTTTCTTCCACAGACTTCGGTGAATTCAGTTTCTGCTGAAGAGAAGGTCAAACTTTGATGCTGTTTGCTGCTGTTACCACTGCAATGTCAGTGTTGTGTTGTAGCAACGCGTACTGGAAGTCGCCTAGCTTGCTTCTTAACCTGAACGCATTTGTGCACAAGAGGTGATATTAAAACGCCAAGTGTTCTACTTCCTGCTTGCTCCTCGTCTTCTTTCTTCCACAGACTTCAGTGAATTCAGTTTCTGCTGAAGGGGAGGTCAAACTTTGGTGCCGTTTTCTGTTGTTGTTTGCATTGCTGTTGCTCTTAGCGAACTCAGCCAGTAAGGCCATTGCTATGTCTTCTTCACTAGCAGGATCAGAGTGGGCCAGAGACGTGGTGGGGTTAGGCTGCTGTGGGAGAGGGCGGTGGCTCCTCTCTCTGACCCCTCAGCCCAGCTGCTGTCGGAGCACAGAGCTAGAGGCAGGTTCCGATTCCCCGGATGCATCCCATTCCGCATCCGACCCTTCTACAGCAGATGAATACGAGAACGGTTTGTCTAGCCCCACACCACTAGCACTGGCAAGCTGGCGGTTGGTTGTCGTACCAGAGGGAGAATGTTGGTCCAATGAACTTATACTTTGCCTTTTGTCCTGCTCCTCTTTCCGCATCCGACCCTCCTACAGCAGATGAGTCCTGTTTGTCTGACCCCACGCCACTGGACAGTTGGCGGTTGGCTGTTGGATCCCGACACCATGGATTTCTTTGTATTCCGTCTGTGGGTCAGGTGATCTGGACAGGCATTCGCCTCATTTCCGCCTTGCTGACATCGAAAACATGTTTGCGTTTGACCTTGGTACCAAACCCGTACCGTGGTACTACCGGAACCTATACGCACAGCCGAATGAATGCTCTTCTTCAGGCTCATTCTTGCATGGCGGGTTCCCGTTTCAATTGAAAAATCACCATACTCCACGATTTGTCTTGTTTTTGGGCCATGAATATCTCCAATTGCCCCAAAGAACTTGCAACTGCTCCATCGTGTAAATGCAATGGGCATCCAAATACCGATACTGTGATTACTTCACTGCCGCTTTCAGTAACAGTTACATCATTACCGATTATTGACAAGCCGGAGGATGCAAGCCGGCCGCGTACGGCTCCACAGGACACGCTACGAGTGCTACGAGGCACCAGCTAACCTCTCAGGCACTAATAAGCCATAAGGCCCTCCCTACCATGCACTAACCTATAATTATTATTCACTGGTTTGAGGGAAAGACGCAAACGGGAAAAGTCCGAAGAATAAATTGACTGTCACGACCAGGACTCGAATCAAGGACCGTAGCTTTTGTAGCAAGGGATGCTCTAACCACTGAGGTATGGTGCAGCCCTCATCCCAGCAGAGACAGTTCGACATCCTCTTCAGACTTCGTAACTCGCACTTCCTGTGATTCCACACAGGCGGGTGTGACGCTGCCCTCACTGTAACCCACACACTTCGCGTACAAAACTAGCATGCGGGGAGCCCCAAGTCATCAAATATTTACTGGTTTGAGGGAAAGACGCAAATGGAAAAATCTGAAGAAAAAAATGATTGACTGTCACCACTAGGACTCGAACCAGGGCCACTCGTATGTACAGCCAGCGATTACATATATTTACATCAAAGGATAAGCAATACTTCGTACCTTATTTCGGGCATAACTAGCAGCATTACCATCAGCTGTAAACCGGCCAGTAGTGTTAGCTGAGCTGGCGATGGGATGTGTTGTAGTGGCTTGGGTGGATGCACTCATACAGGTCTGGCTAAGACCAAATGTAGTCTCTGCCGTAGTAGAAGGACCTGACATTGATGATGGTGATCTATCTGTGGAGGAGCAAGCTAAGGCTGCACCGGGCTGCAGACCAATGGGTTGTTGTGCACCTGCCATAAGTACACAAACACACAGACATGTCTGCATCCAAAAAACGATTATGCGATTTCAGGTTGCTACATTTGTATAAGCGTGCAAACACTCATACATCAAATTCCATTGACTTTATTCAAGAATGTTTCCATGGTGAATGGCTGGTGCCATGACACCTCAGTACATACCAATGTTTTCAAGCATATTTCACATTCACCATAAAGCTTACGAGACAGGACATAGAAAATGTACTTGGTCCGCGTCAGCAATGTTGTCGCCTATCTTTCGACAATTTGAACTTAGACTTCGGACATCAACGCGTGCACTTGAAGTGATAAAACTTGCTACGATGGACGGTATGGTATAGAATGACAACTAGCTATGAGGAATTTATTGTCCAAGGAAGGGTTCATACTATTTTCGGTCCTCCTGGTCGCTGCTCTCGGCGCTGGTGACAAATATTTTTGCTCGGGATCGACTCTGTTGCTTTTGCAAGCTCATCTATGTTCGTCTCCGCTGCCTGACTATTTTCTAAAGAGAGGTCGATCGTGACGGTCGCCTTCTCTATAGAACTTCGCGTGGGCAGCACGACAGCCTGTGTGGTTCAAATCAGACGCCGTTCTTTGCAAGATTTTATTTTTACTGTGACTCTTGGTCTGTTGTCAGGCTACGTAGGGAATATTCACCAATGCCTGACCCGACTGGACGCGTGGGGGATTCGTCTTTCCATGCCCATGTAAGCTCCCAGCAGCCAACATCAGCTCTCCAACTGTTACAGACACTTTGCACATGACTTCACAATTATTGTATTTGCTCGTTCGAATGTATTTGTATTTTGTTTCTCTCACCTTTCACTGTTCCCGAGTTGATCACGTACCTGCGTGCTCCACTCTGCTGCAGTTAGAGGCAGCTACTCTACATGCAGTCGAGACGATTCTATTGTGTATCTGCTGCATGTCTTCTTGACAATATCTGTCCAGCTCTAAATAATTATAATTAAATTCCGCTCTAGCTCTCTTCTCTCTTCTTCTCTTCGATTTATTTATTTTCGCTCCTCTCAGTTATTTTTGTTTTGTTTGTATTTTGTACTAGTTTCGGTACGCTATCGCTCTATCTGCATGATGCGATGCAGTTTATGGATGTCGTCACTCCTTGGGGCGCCGTGCCTGCACCTTTGGGGCGCAGTGCACCGGATGCGCAGTGACCTCTACGATGTACGCCAGAGCTAGGCATCTTTTTTGGCTGCATGTTTCCTTTTGCGATGCCAGCTTTTCTGCTTGAAGCTTCATGTACACGTGTTGCTCTTTGCTTTTCAGAACTCTTGCAGATTCAGTTTATTCCACTTTGTAAAGAACAACTAATGGTTCGAAGGAAATCTTGTCTACCATGGCCAGAGGGCCACAACATGGTCCTGAGCAGTTCTAAAGAAATATACAGTCTTGAGATTACAGAAACACAGCAATGTTGCTACGAAATCGCAGGGGTAAGGGCGAAACGGATATGGCCGATGTCGTCGAGCAGGCTGCTGAGATGGAGTTGCCAGCATCCCCTGCCTCACTCGCATCATCGATGAGATCGTCCTCCACAGTAAAACGGCAAAAAGCGGAAGCCAATTTGGAAATGGCACGGCGTTTGATGGCAATTGAGCAGGCGGATGCCCAAGAAAGACTGGATAGGCAGAGGTGTTTGCTTCAATTGGAGTTGGAGGTGAGCCACGCCCAAATCGAAAACACCCTGTCCGCTCGTTGCAAACAATCGTCGCGTCCTGCATCCAGTATACCGACTCAGCATTTGAGGCCGTTGTTGGCATCCTCAACAACCCTATGAGCAGCGTCGTTGACAGGCTCTGGCCAGGAGAATATAGTAGAAGTAAGCTGATCTCAGCCATGATTAGAAACAGTCTGTAAACTTCCGGGAAAGTCCGCCTTGACAGCTACTAGGCATTGGGTAGAGACCCAGAACCCTGGCAATGCACACGCCACACTTGCGGCAGAGACAACAGCAACAAAGCCAGCTCAGAAGAGTCCTGAGGCTGGAAGCCAGCTAACAGCGCAAGCAGCAAACTGCATGCAGAAGTTCCTGATCCGACAGACGGTTGGTCGTAACTTGCCGGCGTACTCTGGCGACTCGGAGGAGTGGCCCATATTCACCTCTACCTACCAGAGGACGTCAGACGAGTGCGAGGTTTTGCCATCGGAAAATGTAATTCGTCTGCAACGTTTTCTAAAAGGCCCAGCCAAGGCTGCCGTCGGAGCAATACTGAACGTGCCGGAGAACCTGCCAACTGTACTCCAGGTCCTGAAAAGCAGGTTTGGCCGACCGGATGCAGTGATTGCTGCCATGATCAGTAAAGCCAAGGCCATTGGACAGGTCAAGCTAGGAGACTTTGATAGTCTCATCAACCTGTCCACTGCTGTGACGCCTCTAGTAACTACCATGGAGCACCTTCGAAATAAAGGACACATGTACAACCCTCAGCTACGCCAAGAGCTTGTTGGTAGGTTGCCAACATCCCAGCGGCTGCAGTGGGGAGAGGTACTTGTGCGTCCGGGTAGCCATAACATCAGCTTGCGAGTGTTTTCTATGTGGCTGGCGGACAAGGCTGAAGCAGGTGTGCGCGTCGTGGATCTGCCGGGTACCCAAACCGACAAGACGCAGATGGTGTACAGTCATCAGGAAGTTTCGACAGTGTATAGCACAGCAGAAGCGACGGCACCAGCAAGTGCAGCCAGTAAGAAGTAGTCAGCCTGGCTTTGCTGTAAACAAATGCAGCATGCCCTCGGCGAGTGTTCAGCATTCAAGAAGCTTGGCCAGAAAGCCCAATTTGAGCTGGTCATACGTCACCGTCTTTGTTTTTCTTGCCTGGCCAGTGGACACGCTACCAGGGAGTGTGGCAGCAGGAAGCAGTGCAGTGAGCTGGACTGCAAGTGCCACCATCATGTGCTCCTGTGCAAGGGCAAGGCTGCAGAGAAGCCAGTCGACACTTGTGGGCACACCGGTATTCCTGGTACAACCCGAGTATTGCTGAGAGTGTTGCCAGTGACGGTTAGTGGCCCAAAGGGCTGTGTGAAGACACTTGCTCTGCTGGACGAAGCCTCAACTGTCACGCTAATGGACAATACCTGAGCGGATGACATAGGCGCTGTTTGGACAGTCTGATCCCCTGCATATGGCATGGACGAATTCGACGACGCACACGGACAACTCGTCATGCAGAGTCTCTGTTTTGGTCAATGGCACCGATGCCACCCAGCATCAAATGGATGGTGTGAGAACAGCCAAGGACCTCGAGTTGCATTCGCAGTCAATAGATGGCAGAGAGCTGGCGAGTCGACGGCCTTTTATAGATGACTCCAGAGTGGCATGATACCCAGCAGTACAACCGAGGATACTCACCGGGCAAGACAACGGACACCTCACAGTGGCACGTGAAGTCGTCGAAGGCCCGCCAAATGTACCTATGCTGACGAGAACACTTCTTGGTTGGGTAGTGCACGGTCGCATTGGAGCTCGGACTCACCAAGATCAACTCGAACCGGAGGCAATCTACCACATCTGGCAGCCTGAGTCGGATTTGCACCAACTAGTGAAGGAGTCATTCACCATTGAGAACTTTGGCGTTGTACTGTCTGCTTCTGCCGGCAAGCCAAAGGCCATGATCCGTGCTGAAAGTATCCTGCACGACACCACGGTTCGCGTTGGTGACCGGTATGAGAGAGGCCTCCTCTGGAAGTCAGATCAGCCCAAGCTTCCACCCAGCCAAGACATGGCTTTCAACCGTCTAATGGGCATAAAAAGAAAGATGGCTAAGTCTCCAGAATTCGCAGCAGAGTATGCCCAGAAGATCGATGAGTACGTTCAGAAAGGCTACGCTCGTAAGCTAACACCAGCAGAGGCTGCCGAGCAAACCGCACATACCTGATACTTACCGCATTTCGCTGTGTTCATTTCGAACAAGCCCCGAGAAGCTACGTTTTGTATTCGACGCGGCCGCCAAAGCTAGAGGGATGTCACTAAATAATGCACTGTTCCCAGGCCCAGATTTGCTGAACCAGCTCGTGCGTGTCCTGATGAAGTTCCGCCAACGTGCTATTGCCTTTGCGGCTGACATCAAAGACATGTTTCATCAAGTTTGGATACGCCTAGAAGACCAGCCAGCTCAGCGCTTCCTGTGGCGACAACCTGGTGAGACTGGCCCGCCTGACACGTTCGTCATGGAAGTCATGATTTTTGGCGCATCGTCATCGCCATGCTCCGCGCAGTTCACAATGCGGCGCAATGCTGAGGAGCACCGTGAGGAATTTGCTGCTGTAGCCACAGCATGTGACGAGAACTACTACATGGACAACTACCTGGACAGTGTCGACACTACCGACCAGGCGGTACAGCGTGTAGCCAATACCATTGAGATCCTGCAGCGAGGCGGATTTACGATCCGCAACTGGATAAGCAACTGTAGCGAAGTGATGATGAGTGTGCCAGCTGATATGAGAGCAGCTGGAGTCGTTGACCTCAGCTCACAATTGCCGGTAGAGCGCATGCTGGGTCTTCGGTGGGATCCAAACAGTGACGAGTTCCTGTTTCAACTCAACGTGACACGCCGAGAGCAGCTGTGTGCCGCGCATCCCACCAAGCAACCCTACTCAGCATTGTCATGTCAGTTTGGACCCGCTAGGCTTCCTGTCTGCGCTTTTCATTGCCGCACGGATACTCCTCCAGGACATCTAGTTGAGTGGCATCGGTTGGGATTATAAGATTCCACCCGAGCTGCTATCGCGCTGGCAGAATTCGTGTAGACAGCTGCTGGAGGTCAGCCAGTTCAGTATCTCACGCGCATACTCCTGTTTCACGTCGTCCGCTACTGACTTGTCTCTACATGACATTGTGTTCTGCGATGCCAGCAGCAAAGCGTTTGCGGCAGTGGAGTACCTGAGAGTCGAGCACACAGATGACATCGAGTGCAGCTTGGTTGCCGCCAAGACTAGTGTAGCCCCGCTGAAACCAACATCCATTCCACGTCTGGAGCTCCAAGCTGCGGTGCTTGGCTGTCGACTCGCCCAGATGTTAGCCCAAGAGCATGGGCTTAAGTGGCACAGCACCTGTTTCTGGTCAGACTCCAGAACCGTTCTCCAATGGATCAAGTCAGATGCGCGACAGTTCAAGCCGTTTGTCGCTCACCGAGTAGCTGAGATCTGCGACGCAAGTGAGGCCAGCAGTTGGCACTGGATACCAACACTGCTGAATGTTGCAGATGATGCATCTCGTGGTATCTCCATGCACGAACTGAGCTGCGGCCGATAGAAGTCTGGTCCGGATTTTCTAATGCAGTCACGGGAAGCGTGGCCAGCTGCACCCGCAACGTCGGATGAGTGCATCGACGCGACCGAAGTGAAGAAAGAGTTCGTTGCGGCGACAACATCCCTGCCAATGCCCCTGCAATTTGCCGAATCGCTGCCTGACGTCAACCGTGTCTCGTCATGGAAACGTCTCATCTGCACAACCGCGAATGTAGCCAGGTTCATCGCAAACACTCGGGCCAGAGTTCGCGGACAAACTGTCAAATCAATCGCAGCCATATCAGCCAAGGAAATGGATGCGGCCGAGCAGCTCTGGATGAAATCTGTGCAGGCAGAGTGTTTTGCCGTAGAAGTGGCATTGTTGAGCGATGGCCAGCCTGTCAGCACCAGCAGTCGTCTACGACAGCTAGCACCAGCCATTGATGAGGACGGGATTCTGCGGGTTCAGGGTGCCTCACACATGCAACGGAAATGGCGTACAGTGCAAAACACCCGGCAATCCTGTGTCCGAAGCATAGGTACACACAGCTTCTAGTCCATGAATACCACCTGCGTTCTGGCCATCATGGACACGAGAAGACATTGAATGAGCTTCGCCAGCAGTACTGGGTGACAACGGGTCGAGCAGCTGTGAAGCGAGCATGGTCTGAGTGTCAATACTGCAAGAACCAACGAACCAATCCCAAGCTACCTGTAATGGGAAATCTACCTGTCCAGCGCTTGACCCCGTTCCTGCGACCATTCACGTTCACCGGGCTGTACTATTTCAGACTGTTGCACATCAAGATCGGGAGGCGCCGCGAACTATGCTACGGTGCGTTGTTCACATGTCTGAGTACTCGCGCTGTACATTTGGAAGTGGCTCACTCTCTGAACACTGATAGTGCCATCATGGCAATCAGGCGAATGGGCGACCGGCGAGGTTGCCCCCAAGAAATCCACTCAGATAAAGGAACCAATTTCCGAGGAGCTGACAGGGAGCTGAAGGCAGCATTGGAAGATTTCCGCCAAGACCGACTACCTGCTGAGTGTTCCAGTAAGGGCATCTCATGGCACTTCAACCCGCCACTTGCTCCCCAGATGGGTGGAAGCTGGGAGCGCCTCGTCAGAGCAGTGAAGATCGCTGTGAAATCCGTCATGAAGGAGCGTGTCGTGACAGAAGAAGTCCTAGCCCCGGTATTCGCTGAAGCCGAGCAACTCATGAATTGTCGGCCGCTGACTCACGTCTCAGTAGATCCTGATGATCATGATCCCCTCACACCCAACCACTTCCTCATTGGGTCCAGTAGTGTGACTAGTCGGCCAGGCGTGTTTGTAGATGCTGATCTGTGCCTGAGGAAGCACTGGCGGATTGCACAGAAGATCACCGACGAATTCTGGAAGAGGTGGATCTTGGAATACTGGCCAAAACTCACCAGGCGGAGGAAATGGCAGGACGGGACACCGTCGCTGGCTGTAGGTGATGTCGTGGTGGTCGTTGACAGCAACCAGCCACGAGGGCAGTGGCCTCGGGGCCGACTGGAGGCTGTACACCCGAGCAGTGATGGTGTTGTGCGAGTAGCAGATGTCCGCACCAAGTCTGGACTGTACCGGCGCCCAGTCGTCAAGCTTGCCAAGCTGGACGTGCTGGGCTGAGTTTGTTTGTGACTTGTAACAGGTCATCGGTACCCTGTTACCAGGGGGGGGGGGGGAGAATGTTACAGACACTTGCACATGAATTCATGATTATTGTGTTTGCTCGTTCGAATATATTTGTATTTTGTTTCTCTCACCTTTCACTGCTCCCGAGTTGATCACGTACCTGCGTGCTCCACTCTGCTGCAGTTAGAGGCAGCTACTCTACATGCAGTCGCGTCGATTCTATTGTGTATCTGCATGTCTCCTTGACAATATTTGTCCAGCTCTAAATAATTAGAATTAAATTCCTTCTCTCTTCTCTCTCTCTTCTTCTCTTCGATTCATTTATTTTCGCTTCTCTCAGTTATTTTGTTTTGTTTGTACTTTGTACGCTATCGCTCTATCTGTATGATGCGATGCAGTTTAAGGATGTCGTCACTCCTTGGGGCGCCGTGCCTGCACCTTTGGGGCGCAGTGCACTGGATGCGCAGTGACCTCTACGATGTACGCCAGAGCTAGGCATCTTTTTTTGGCTGCATGTTTCCTTTTGCGTTGCCAGCTTTTCTGTTTGAAGCTACATGTACACGTGTCGCTCTTTGCTTTTCAGAACTCTTTGAGATTCAGTTTTATTCCACTTTGTAAAGAACAAGAACAAGAAATGGTTCAAAGGAAATCTTGTCTACCATGGCCAAAGGGCCGCAACAGACAGTGTTATGTAGTAGGAAGGTTTCCGTCCTGAGATTTTTTGAATTTGTTTGCTTGACATTCGAACCGAAGCGCACATTAATTTTTAATAAGTAGGACCAAGTATCTACTTTTTATACCCACTCCTAACCGGGGCAATGATCACATTGATCAGGTACAACCACTAAGGTACAATCATGATGTCATACCCCCTTCACCACCTACAACACCCGAAAAACCATTTTTTATGTAAAAAATGGGCACCCGTTTTTTCCCAAAAAATGGGGTACTATAAATAGTACCCCATTTTTGAGGGCTGGACCATGTACCTCACCCAGAACCGGCCGGACACATACTACTCACTTGTACTTGTTGCTCACTGCCAAACTGGTCACGTGGGTCTCCCCGGGAGAGGGGAGAGAGACTCAAAAGGAATCTTGGAAAGATGACTCAATTGGCTATTGAACCGCCCAACGGCCGACACCCCCTGAAATCCCCAAAACTGTGGGTGAACTTGAAAATGATGCCACTTATGGGCTCACCACACCTCAGTAAGTGGGTGAGGACAAGGTGCAGAAAAAGAATTGACGGCATCAGGGTATCCGTCCAGGGATCCAGCTGCAGTTACCCCTGCCCCCAGTGAAGGTAGTACTTGCTTCTAGTGTGGGTAGCTAAATCAGAGTGGATCTGATATAAGCTTCATTAGCACATTTGATTACACAAGAGTTAATCTAGCCGTTCGGAGCAGACACTTTCTTCATTCTCATACTACAGGCAATAATTATTATGAACTTACCATTGGAAATGCAAGTCCGGATTGCTGTGAGGAAATTCTGGTCTTTCCGGTGTGACCTCATAATGACTGCCAGCACAAGCTGGAAGTCCTTACTGCGATTATTTATCTGGTCGTATTCCTGCTGCGAGATGTGGGGCTGAGCAGCAGCAGCTACGTCAGTGCGCCTCGAAAACTCCAGCTCATTGTCATAGCTCTGTGGCAGAACTTCAACATCATCCTCATCCTCATCATCCTCATTGTCCTCTGACAGCTCTTCATTATCCTCTGTCAACTCGTCTAAGGCCACAGTGGAGTTGCTAGAGTTGCCTAAAAGTCAAACAACAAGAAGTTCATAACGTTACTTCATGTCAAGAACATAGACAAGGTAATTGTAACTGGTGCAAGAAGGCAAAGGTGGACTCGCAGGAGTGTTCAGAAAAGACTAGGGCTTGATAATTGAAAGTGCTACGTCATAGAAAGCCAGGAGCCAAAACATAGGTGACTTTGGATTTACTTGCCGGGTCCAGTTTTTTTTGGCATGTGGCCATACACGTTTTAAGTGGTTTTCCAACACAGCATAGTGCCACATCCATCGGTAATGACTGCACTGGGCCCTCCATGTCACTTCTTGTACGGAACAAGTTTACGCCTACACGCGACACAAGGCGTTTGTTTTGTTTGTTTGTATAAAAGCTATATTTTACTTTCCCATGGGTCCATCTACTAAATCAGATTCTTTCCCGTGGGTGGAGTGGATCCAATTTTTGTAGCTAGATTTTGACTGCTGACGACTTCTGAAGTCATCGATTTCAAGCCCCACTGAACTTGACACGAGGACAGAGAGTGGAAGGCTGTCAAAAACACAGTTTCTTTGCCTAGCGCAGCTGTGGTACAACTTTGGGACAGATATATTTGGCTCTGAAGCTGGTTTACAACTCCGTGAAGACTTCCACTTTACCTCAACGTTTTCCTTGGCGAAAATCTTTCCAGGAAGTCAATTATGACGAATTATTGGGTGCTAGAGTAACGGACTTTTTAGAGGTGTTGTTGTTTTCAGTAAAAGTGACCCTTTGTTGCTGAACCTTAGTGGATAGGCAGCAATACCCTACAGCAGTGAAATGGATATCCTAGCCTAGAGTAGTCCATCGGTGGTAGTACATGAAAAGTATAATACACTTCATTGAAAGAATATACAGCATGTAACCAACACAGATGGCAAACACTCGATTACAGTTTGAAGGTACCAGGCAAACCAGAGTCAGGACCACTCTGCCTTTCGGATGCAATTGGATCCACGTTGTATGTAAACCCATACTTGCCCCACCCACAAGATACCTAACTTGACTATGATCAGAGTGGATCCAATTTCGCCCAGAAGTTGGTATTTTCAAAAGACTTCTGATGCCATTACTATTAAGCTCTTCGTGCCATTAGTTGCCCCAGTTCTATTGTAAAAGACCCAACAGCTATAGGAATTATCTGCATACATAAACCAAACTCCTCATAGCGGACACGCACACATATACACATTATACGGGAACACACAACGACACTCGCGGGCACACACATGTGCACATACACCTGTCCTGTTCTGTTACAAGGGTAACGTGGTCCCCGGATGGGCAATGGAGAGAAAATAGGAGAATATCATCCCACGGCGTCCAGGACACAAAAACAAAAAGTTCGCCAGGATTCGGGTCATCTGCAACTGTTACCACGACACCGACATATGGCGGGGGGGGGAGGGGGCAACCTGAGCTGTGGTGTCTATTCCTGCCCTGGACCGAACAGATGCTGCCGCAGTACACACAGTGAGCACCACAACACTGCTCCACAGTGGATGCACTGAGTCATACACTTGCGACGAGCAAGGTCGTCGCGTCTTAAAAAAAGGTGGCTCATACCCAAATCGGAAAATAGAAACTGCCCGGTGGATTTTATTCCCAATTTGCACAGCTCTTTAATCCTACCAGAATGTTGTCAGTCCCGAAAAATGGGAAGGATTTAAACAAACAGTTAGCCAGCTAATTGTAGAACGTCAATATCGTCGGTCGGTGTCGTGCAATGTTATCGCAGGAGCTGATTGTTTAGTAACTGGTGGTATTAGTGGACATTATTGCATAACTTGTAGTTCCTCATTTCTTCATAGTTAAAACCCGATATAGAATTTCTGGTATTTTGGAGCATTTTGCACAAAAGCACATCCCAGCATTTTGCCCCTACTGTTGAATTGTTCAGACTTAATGTTGTAGTTTTCTTTTCAGGTGTCTGAGTGGTGATTTCTGTAGTCAAGCCAAGCTTAATAGGGTGGCTGGACTTTCCTTCCAGGGTTCTTGGCTGCCCACACTAACAATCTCATTCGGTTTGGAATGCAAATATCGGCACTCCGCTGGGTGCTTCCCTGCCAGCTATATGCTTCATATGCTAAACATTAGGCATTTGACATTGAATCAATACGAAGTACTTAGGAGCACGGCTTACTGAATCCAATATTGGCTGATGTGTGCGGTGGACCAAAACACATTAATGAAAAACTGCCTGTCATTTACTGTCAAGTTTCATGTTTCTGTTACCACTAGAACATTCCTTTGGAGTCGATTATAGAAGCTAATCTTGTCAAAACCGCTACCAAAAAAGAAGAGTTTTCACCGGGGAGGCTCGAACCCACGGGGGCAAAACGTCGAAATATTTAACCCTTTACCCGCAAGTGCATTTTGTATATGAAATCCATAGCATTGAGAAGGATGCCAATAACTCACAACGAGGGCACATTTTGTATGTGCAAGTTATGTTTTCTGGTAAGTCTGGTACTACTTCTTGACCATGGAAAAAATTATTTTCACCTACAACATACATACGCTGCTAAATTGGCACCCATACGTCTAAACACGGAAATTGCACATAATGCAGTCAGATTCCGACATTGACATGATATTGCCAAAACAAGTCGACTTCGGAGCGGAAACGAACGCCATAGCCATCACAGACTTCAGTGGCCGTGCCTTGCTCGCAATTGAGAGCAGCATCGCCCCAGAATCGCTTTCCAATGGCTCCGTGAGTGCATGCGCACGTCGCGCTGCGCTGCCGTCACTCAGGCACTCAGAAAGTCGATGGCCTAAAATTCCTTCTCTGGGAGACTGTCGACACGGGGATCACTCTCCATGGCTTCCCCATCATAAGCACCATCAGATTCTTCCAGGTGCATCACGACAACATCGTCTTCAGCGGCTGGAGCTCCCGATATTTGCGTGAGAATTTACTTGGCGTGCGCTCCGCTCCGCAATTTGAAATTCGCTTGCATCGGCAGCTGGAACGAAGTATTTATCTATCTGTCATCGGTACCAGAGCGAAGGAATGCTAGGTCCTCGTCGGAGAAGTCATCTGAGGACGAAAGGAACTCACTGCGCAAGAGGAAATGCACCTGACGACGTTTTGACGGAGGCAGACTGCATTGTCGGCGCGCGTGTATTTCCGTAAGTTTTCGATCGCGCAGTTCCCAATGAATCAAATGGGACACGCGTAGATCTCTTCAGCTACCGATATGATCATACCTAGGCTGTGTGAGGGCCACGGGAAACCCCCGTGGGCTAATGCTTCCTGCCATGCCAGGCATGGTTTTAGTATGCATGTCCAATGCGTCGTTTACGACGCATTCAAGTATGGGGCTGCCGGTAAAGGGTTAAACTCTAAGCCTGGGCACAAGGATGCTTAAAACCATTTGAGACCCCACTGATTTCGGCAAAAATGCATTTTTCAATGGTCCGGAGTCAAAAGGATAAATTTCTTCAGGGAAGAATTTTTACAAGTTATTACAAGTTATGTTTTTCTGAATGCTCTTGTGTCAGGGAAACCAAAAACACATAGTTTCAGGGCCATCAGATCAAGCAATCTTGGCAAAAAGGGCTTTCGAATTCCAAAATCGCTCAAAAATGCACGCAAATCAAAGTTGACATAGATAATATTTACAGAGGAAAGAACTAGGTATGGAGTAAAATTGTTCTGAATCTAATTACATATGTACAGGCAGGTGATCTGCAAAGTTTGAGCTCGTTAGACGAAGTGACGAGTGTGATATTCTGCAAAACAGTCCCGCTCCGCAGTGATGTGCAAATGGACGCCGCAAGTTTGGCAGTATGTCACACACTGGCGCTGCACATTTTCCTGCTCTCTACAGTTTTTGCAATTTTTCTTTTGCTTCTGTGAGTTGGGCAGATGGAGTTGTGTGAATCAAGGAATGGTGCATCTGTGGAAGAACGGTAGCGTCTCTTCCGCGGTGGGTCGTTGATGTCGATGCCAGCCATTTGGCGGATCAAGTGCGCCTGAAAATCGGAGTGCTTGAAGTGCTTCCGCCGTTGGATGTTGTCAGGATGTTCGGTCATCCATAGGTGAAACAGCCGGTATGCATTGCTGGCACTCACATCAACCAGGTCAAGGAACAAGCTTTTCCAATACTTCCGAGTCTTCCTGAGACTTCGATATGTGGCGATCAGGTAGTCGAAGGTGTCAACACCACCCATGCTTCCATTGTAGTCCGCAACTACAAGTGGCCTGCGGATCTCTACCACTTGGTGCATACCATCGACCTTTACATTCCTGGTAATCATGTCGTGCTGGTGGCCAAGGTGTACATTTGAAAACATGGATACGCACCGCTTGTCTTTCCATTGCTGGAAAAGTTGGTCTCCTTGGCGTACGTAGCGCGTTGTGCCTCGCTCGGCCCACCTCTCAAACTGCTTGATGTCAGCTCTTAAGATAGGTGGGAAGCCTTGCCGGTTGGGGCGAATAGTGCCCACTAGTGACATCTGCTTTTCACGAAGAGACGTGGCGAGCAATGGCGACGTGTAAAAGTTATCGGTGTAGATAACATGATCCGCTGCCATGTCTCCCACCAGCCGCATCACGACTGCGTGCGTCAGGCCATGTTCTCCTCCAAGCTGCTGTCCGGTGTAAACTTCAAAATTTACTATGATCGAGGTGTCAGCATCGCAAGCTGCAAAGAAGCCCCCCTTGACTGGCTTCTTCGGCAAGTACTGCGTAAATGGAGCGCAGCCTTTGCATTTTACCATACTCTCGTCGACGCTCACACATTTTCCAGGTCGGTAGAGAGCTTGGCATTTTTCACGCATATGATCATGGAGAAGGAGAATTTTACGCAGCCTGTCATTGCCATCCTCCTGCGTGTGGTCAATCACCTTCAAGAAGCACATCAGTGCCTCGTACCGATTCCGGCTGGAGATCATCTGGCGTGCGTAATTGCCGGCGTACAATGCTTCTGTGCGCCAGTAATCGCGCATGGCAGGGAGTGGATGAAATCCCTGGAAGAGAAGGAGAGCTAGGAGTTTGTACATTTCAGGTAAGTCGGTTCTTTTCCATGTACCATCAGCTTTCGCATGTTTTGGGAGTGATGCAATTCTAGACTCAGCATATGCATTTGTGAAGTTCACCATTTGCTGCACAATTTCCTCTGAGAAAAATAATTTGAAGAAATCCAATTCGCAGCTGGGGATAAAAGTCATCAGGTAGCTGCATGCCACAGCCATCGGCGTCAAACTCAGGCACAGCACTCTCTCCACCAGCGTCGACATTTCCATAGTCACTGAGCGTTGCGTACGGTGCTGCAAAACGGCCACGTCCGCGACCACGACCACCGCGAGCTGCTATACCACGGTCGTGTCCGCGAACTGCTGCGCCAGTATTTCCACGCGCCTTTCCCCCACCACGTCCGCGATCACCAGCTCCTCGCCCTGCCTGTGCTGCTCGCCCACGGCCCGTGTGGGCTACTCCACGACCACGGCCTTGGCCACGACCTCTTCCGCGTGCTGGCACCGGAACAAATTCTTCCTTGCCTTCTGACGGCGAGTCGATCGCGTCGTCAGCTAATAAATCTTGATTCACGGCGTCCTCCGTGCCGGATGAGAGCCCATCATTGTTCGAGGATTCAGGCTCGTCCCAAGAGCTGTCACTCAGCTCTTCTACAGGCTCGTTCCGCTCCTCTAACTCCTCAAACAACGCCGCTGCAGCAATCGCGTTCATGCGGAAGTCAAATTAGACACACTTAGGCCGCGAGTGCAGCTCGGGGGATCTTGTCCGCATTCACGGCCGCGTGCTGGAAATTTTTAGTGGTGACCTATGCTGTGTTTGGCATGTGCTTTTAGAGATTTTTCTCAGCTACGTCGTCGTGTTGATTTTATTTCGCTGAGGTGAACCAGTCCAAACTTACGAGCTCTGGAAGTGCGCCCACTTCAAACGATCGAATTCGATCGTTGGGGTCTCAAAGAGTTAAGAGAGCATGTCTTAGAAAACCAGAAAGCTGGGCTGAGCCATCTCTCCGATTTCGCTCAAATTTTGCAAGTAGGTTACCTTTGGGGTCTACAACAACCATGCAAAAGGGCTCGTTGCATAACTTACGGGCACCTTGGAACTGGGGGCCACCTCAAAATGGGCCCAAATTACAACTCAATATTGGGTTCAAAAACGAGCGTTGCTACAGCGTACACGATTGAGCTGAGAACAAACCACCATCATGCCAACATTACCTCACCTGAGTAGTCTTCACATCACCACCACATAGAGCCATGGCTACATCCAGGAAAGCAATGGCCATCATCTCCAAATGTCACTAAATTGCATTGCTAAAATTGCCAAATTTCAAGGGCCATAGCGGTAACCATTTACAGAGTCTATTTTCTGAACCATGCACTGCAGGACAGTGGACTATCTCCGCTAAAACCAGGACATGTCTCGTAAATAGTGCTCCATGTTTCCTTAAAAAACTAAATTTGAATATTTTCACTTCACCACATTGCAACATTGCCAATTTCCTACCCGACGACGGAAAGCGCCTTCTCAAGCTCCAACACCAGGCACCGCTCCAGACGCCAGCACGCCAAACACTGCAGCGTGGTCACCTCAACCGAGTCTGACAAGAAATTTGAACTGACAACCCTTGTCACTCCAAACAACAACCAATTCCTTCCCCGAACGACTCGTATTTCGCTAGCAGCAAAGCTCTGCAGTAGTGCAAAAAATATTGAACAAATCTCGATTTGGGTGATCGAAGCACGACATTTTTGCGTCCTGAAACTGGCCGTGCGCAGACCACCGCATGACATAGCAGATCTACGGATTTGATCGAGTTGATCGACAATCAAGATCAGAATCCAAATATTTTGCTTTTTCACGGCTGAGCATTGATTGATTTAGATGTTTTCGGTTACTTTCTCCCAACACAAAAACTTATATGACTTTTGACATGACTTTTGAAGGAGTTACTGTGATCAACAAAAGGGTTCTTTTGGAAGATAAACACTTCAACACATTCAATCGACATATCTACAATATCTACAGGAGCGATTAGTGGGAGTAGAGTCTCAGTCTGGATCGCCATCGCCCGACTCATCACCCCTGAAACTGTTCCAAGTGGCAGGTCGATCGACGCGATGTCGTATGTCACGGAAAAGCTTCTCAGCGTCCCTGATCATCTTCGCTGTTACCTGAATTCCTTCTCCAACATCTCGGCGAAGACCATGGTAGCGCGGCAGCGCTGGTACTCATTACCGCCTCCGCTCTCGCTCGAGGATGCCTCGGAACAAACACAGGCAAAACCAAACATTTCAAATTTCCTCCGAGGGATATCATAGTCGTACCAGCATTTCCCGACTGCCGCGATCAGATCTCGCCTTTTCCTTTGCGACCAAGGACAAAGAGTCGAGGCTGCTGGAAAAGGCGAGATCATCCACGTTGAGGTCTGGGCTCTGCAGTGGCTGAACAATTTCCATTTTGAACTTGTTCATCTTGCTCTGCTGCGCGAAGTGACGATTGTCACATCTCTGCGTTTTGGAGTTTTGACATCCTGCCGACCTATTTGCATGCAGGCAGGTGTGTCGGGGATGGCGAAGATTTCAAAACGCTAGCTGCTATTGCTATTCACTTTCCACTCTTCTTGCTCCTCGGTGCCATTGTCCTGCTCTGTCAAGCTCTGAACTAAAAAATAGCTACTTACGACGAGCAGTGAGCACAGTGCTTTTCTTCCCATTGCGCCTGACGTACGAAAAATGAAAAACATGTTCGCTTTTCTTTGTTTGCAGCGTCGACACCCTTGTTCTGTGATGATTGTCGGCTCTCCAACATATGAATCATGCTTTCCTACGATTCCGAAATGTCATGTCAGTGTCTCAGGCTGACAGAACCAGAGAGAGAGCGAAATGACAACAGTGAAAAGTAGTGAAAAAAAGTCACGAAGTGTTTGATTCCGGAGGAAGTATTTATCTATTTTGTGGCTGCGAGTGTGTTTTCGCTTCTACTCATTTCTGGAAAACCACCACGGTGGTGAGTGTGATTGCTCTGGTAGACCACTACCCCCTGTACTGAACAGTTGCTTTGTGAGTGAAAACGAATCTGTTTATTTCCAGAAAACATGGAACACTTTTTACGAGAGATGTCCTGGGTTTTAGTGGAGATAGTCCACTGTCCCGCAGTGCATGGTTCAGAAAAATAGACACCACAAATGGTTCCCGCTATGGCTCTTGAAATTTGGCAATTTTAGCAATGCAATTTAGTGACATTTGGAGATGATGGCCATTGCTTTCCTGGATGTAGCCATGGCTTTATGTGCTGGTGATGTGAAGACTACTCATGTGAGGTAATGTTGGCATGGTGGCGGTTTGTTCTCAGCTCAATCGTGTACGCTGTAGCAGCGCTCGTTTTGGACTCAATAGTCGTATTTTGGGCCCATTACGAGGTGGTTCCCATTTCCAAGGTGTCCGTTAGTTATGCAATGAGCCCTTTTGCATGGTTGTTGTAGACCCCAAAGGAAATCTACTTCCAACATTTAAGCGAAGTCGGAGAGATGGCCTAGCCCAGCTTTTCTGGTTTTCTCAGACATGCTCTCTGAAAGGACTAGTTTTCCTTTTAGGTACGAGCCACGTTAAGTAAGAACCAACTGCCGCAGCGATCAAACTAGCAATATCTACGCTGTTGTTGCACTGCAAGCTCTGCAGTACACCAGTGCCTGGCACGATCCAGGCGGCGCCAGAAAATCCGCTCACACAAAGAGCAGTTGACAGCAGCAGCTGCACCACTAAACATGCTGTGCGAAGAAGATGCATCACCCTCTGTCCAGGTGTATACTGTCGTCCACTCGGCGCGAGACTCACGCACGCACATGCGCGCACACACATACGCAAACACACACACACACACACACACACACACACACATACACACACATACGTATACACACACACACACCTATGCATACACACACACACATAATCATAGAAAGACACACAGCACATGATAATACAGCAACATACCTGTTATCTCTCGAAAGTCAATTATGGTCAAAGAGGAGATGTCAATGATTTGAAGTATATCCAGGCCTCGCAGCAGTCCAGGATAGTGTACTGCAAGGTAGAGTAGATGACCCAGTGTTCTCATTGGTAGCAGCAGTACAACTTGAATGCTGTCATATGGACCCCGGAAGAGGACCTGAATTTGATGCCTGGAGTAGGTAAGGGCCTCCAGGTCTCCAAGCAATTCTCTTTCGATCTTGTGTTCGGTGCTGTCATCATATCTTCCTTTGATGATGATCGTGATTAATGTCCTTATCTGTCCCCCAGCTGAAGACACATGCATGGCCGCACACACAAACAGACACATGATCACAAACAACCATATGAACTTGTATTGTATGTAGGTATACACATTCACATGCCAGCCCGCACATCTAGGCCAGCAGAAATTCTGGCTGGCAAATGCGTAGTGCTGAGCTCATCGTAAACAGGTGCGGATTCAGAGACCTCTATAAGGGGGCTCCTGTATAATCAGATTGTACTAACGAAGACTACGGTTGTGCGGTCGTGATGATTAGGATGGTCCAATTGTGATAGTTAGAATTGCATGCTGTGACACGCTCAAAGTGATCAGCAGAGAAAGCCTTTCAACTCACTACAGACTCGTAATTATATAAATTGCAGTCTACTGGCACACAGCTCCAGTGCTTGGAGAACTTTTCGACTTCTTGTAAAGAATGTAATTATTTTGCGCCAGAAATGCCAAAATGATCGCTTTCCCGGTACATTTCTACTTTCGGATATTTAATATTTATAGCATTTTTGCAGGGTTCTAGCCAGGTCAAAATAGTAGGGGAGCGGGAAGGGGAAACAGTTACCCGCAACCCATTTTCCCATGTTCCCAACATGTCTTGCCAGCCAAAATACAAGGTACGGGGCTCTAACCGGCTGAATGTGCATTGTGGGCGCTCTGTTATATAATTATAACGTTAGTGACTATCCACTGCGTTTTTCGTTGAATGGCCTGAAAAAAACCACAAAATTTGACAAATGAGTAGGGAGTGCCACTTTTTCACAGGGGGCACTCAATCAGAGTACGAGGGGGCACTCAATCAGAGTACGAGGGGGCACTCAATCAGAGTACGAGGGGGCACTCAATCAGAGTACGAGGGGGCACTCAATCAGAGTACGAGGGGGCACTCAATCAGAGTACGAGGGCACTGCACTCAATCATAGTACGAGGGCACTGCACTCAATCAGAGTACGAGGGGGCACTCAATCAGAGTACGAGGGGGCACTCAATCAGAGTACGAGGGCACTGCACTCAATCAGAGTACGAGGGGGCACTCAATCAGAGTACGAGGGGGCACTCAATCAGAGTACGAGGGCACTGCACTCAATCAGAGTACGAGGGGGCACTCAATCAGAGTACGAGGGGGCACTCAATCAGAGTACGAGGGCACTGCACTCAATCAGAGTACGAGGGGGCACTCAATCAGAGTACGAGGGGGCACTCAATCAGAGTACGAGGGGGCACTCAATCAGAGTACGAGGGCACTGCACTCAATCAGAGTACGAGGGTACTGCAGCCCATACCGTCCATGGGCTGGAACCCTGAAAAAATACCATACAACATGAAATGCTCTTGAATCACACACTCATTGTCTTCACTTGACAGACATTTTAAAAACAACAGTGTCCACAATCAGTCCACTAGACATCCTTAAAAATCTTGTAGGACGCATCACGCAGCTTCATTAGTAAAAAATTGGTTGTGAGCAACACTGGCTCACACTCAAATCACTGCTTTTCACCAGAAAAATATTTTATGTCAACGTTTCGGTCATGAAATAACCATCATCAGGAATGAAAGTAGTTCATTCCTGATGATGGTTATTTTCATGACCGAAACGTTGACATAAAATATTTTTCTGGTGAAAAGCAGTGATTTGAGTGTGAGCCAGTGTTGCTAACAACCAATTTTTTAGATATCCTTAGTTACAAAAACGCTAACGTAAACGGGAATCCTTACCGTATTTCGGACCGTTCTAGCTGACTTTTCCCTTGGCACAATGTACATTATAGTTCAGACGAAGTAGTCTTACCAACCATGGCGATTTGAATTTTTGTGGAAACAATTGCGGGAAATTCAAAATTTTGAGCCAGGGATTAGTTTGCTGTCCTTCAGAATGAATACCTTGGCGAGGTCTTTCACTCGGCAATGGCAAAGGCACGGCGAAAATGAGTTTTCGCTGTGCCCAGGTCGACTGTAAGGGTTCTCCAGCTCCAGCACGTCTGGGAGAGGCCGATGAATTTCTATCTCAGTAGTGCCGCGGAACCGGTCCTTTGTTTCCCAGATAGAATAGAGGATGAAAGGTACGAAGCAGAGGACGCAGACATTGTCAACTGAAATGCAAAACTGACCAAAAAACGCTAAAGGTGACAAGCAACTCTAGTCTTGATCTGCACGTGTTGTTTATCTCCGGCCAGTTACAAAACAATGCGAGTTTTTGCATTTTTGCAGAATTATCATATCGAACGCCTGCCCGTTATTATGAGCTCCGCAACGTTTTCCGTTACCCGATAACGTTTTTTGTCACGGCTGGAAGTGAGTACCGTAAAAGTTAGCGTTATCGTACTTTTGCTAAGGATCTCTAATGTCATCAAAACACATTGCTGGCACAGACCTCCGTTTCTGTGGAGGAACAACTTGCCGCTACTGCATGCTAGAATAGTAGAGTTTACCGACTCCGCTTGGAAATCTGAGCCCTCATCTTCCGACGAGCTTGAGCAGGATGATAAAATTTCTAACTTCATGACAAGCGTCATTATTCGGAACATCCTTTCTCTTCCGCAACAACTGATCCAAGGAATGCTGGCTGCATCCATCTAATGAAATTAATATAGTAGCAGCGAGTGACATTGCCAAGGAATGTTGATTTGGTCGGTTTCGAAACAACGAAGGGAAACAACTGCCTATAATTTCTTGCCTTCGTCGGTAAAGCAGCCCAACGTAATTGCAAGTGCGTGGCGGCGCGTGGCCAACTCATGATGCCTGAAGCCCTGCACTGGTAGTATGTAGATGTACAGTCTGTACATGAACACCAGTGCATGACATCTACAGATCTACTGTTATCTTCGATTGCACGGTCGGTACCGATGATCAGACGGACTAGGATCTACATAGGAAAGCCTTCCTACGTTGGATCCTCCGTAGGACTTTTTGAAATATTTTTCGCACTTTTCCGGATTTATCCATGGCAACGTTCAAGTTGCGCGAAACACAAGGTGCACAGCACGTGGGCAACAAAATGGAAATGGTTTCGGTTCGTGGTGTATGCGGTGGGCGCATGCAGCGTGCATGCATCATTTTTGTTCATTTTGTCAGTATTATAAAATTTGAAGAAGAGGTTGGTGCGATTTCGGCAATACTCAGTACATATTGCAAAATTTAGGGAGTTCCGTGGAACTCCCGGAAAAGCATAAGTTGCGAAAAGTTATGGCATCTTTGGGAAGGGGCTAGCCATGCTTCCATGATTCCAAATCGCCATTGGGGATATACAGCCGTTTATATTCCATCACTACTGTGTCCGTCAGCGCGAGAGCTTTTTCCCCGGCTAGCTCGGTCCAGGTAAATTAAATGACGGTTCCAAGTAGTTCTGTATCATGGCCTATTTCTGTTATCCGCATGCACACCACATCATTTGATACATTCTGTTCCCCATCCTTGTTTCCATATTTCACTATTTATCTGGTCTACATCTGGCTGTGGTCAACTACCCTTCAATTTGTGTGTCCTTCTCTCCATTACCATCACCAGTAGCACCTCCGCCCCCGCCGCCACCACCACAACCACCATGCTTCTGCAGCAGCAGCACCGCCACCACTTCCACCACCATGGTGGTAGCGGTGGTGGAGATGGAGAGAAGGACAGTTGTTTGCCAGAGGGTCTATAGACCGTTTGTGTGGGCAGGCATGTATTTCCTGATATTCGGCCAGGTGAGTGCTTTTTATCATACACGTACATCAGCGAGTAGTAAACTTGTCACGACTCCATGTTGTGCATGCAGTAGTCGTACTTGAATGTACCCAGCTCTGACCAGGTTGCAAGAGTTGTGTCGGTTACATATGTACCCGGTTCGTTTGAAATCCTGGAGCAGACACTAGTATTGGTCTACCAGCCTGTGGCTGAGTACAGTAGTAGAATTTGTCCAACTTAGCCGTGCACATTCAATTAAACATGACAAATTTAGAGAACAGGATATTACAAACCTTTTCCTTCAACACATGTGAGTGCAGGATCACTTCTTCTGGGCTTCGGTTCGATTCTGATATTAGTCTCATTGAAGTGCTGCTTAGATAACCTGTCCAAGATAATTCCATCACAGTCGTCCACAGATGTCCTCAGTTTGCTGTCCATAAAAACCGTGACTCGAGCTTTGCGCAGATCACGTTTTGTCCATTCTGGTCATACACATTGTTGAGGAATTGATATGGAAGAAAGCACAACATACATCCGCCGTTAATTTATTCCAAACCCAAGTACCCAACGCACAATATTAGGAACTAAAAGATCTCTGAAATCGAATACACCACACCACCACATTGCGCTCTTGGCCGGTTCAAACTCTGCACTCACATCACCATCACCACAGAGAGGACAATTCCGGTATATATAATTATATTGATATTGACAATGACCCTCCAGACAATTGTTTCGCTCCTCCTGAGCTCATCAGTGGAGGCAAATGTCGTTATCACCTGACCTTGTTATCACTTTTGTCACTTTTGTCTAATCTTTCATTCAACATTATATGCCTCCACTGATGAGCTCAGGAGGAGCGAAACAGCTGTCTGGAGGGTCATTATCTATATCAATCTACTAGTTTATACCGAAATTGTCCTCGCTGTGGTGATGGTGATGTGAGTGCAGAGTGTGGATCGGCCAAGAGCGCAATGTGGTGGTGTGATGTATTGGATTCCATAATGACCGGGTCGCCGCTACTTCTTCTCATTTTAAAAGATCTCTGGACCAAGAATTTAGCATCAAGGTAAATGTTGGTCCACAAAAGGCGAATCTAAGCCGTGATACACCAGCATATGATTAGCTTCTGGTCAGCCTTAGTTCCAGTCAGACATCACATGGTTCTAATGTGACACTTCAGTTGATACTCAGTTCCTTCAAACAGCAGTATTGAGTAAAACGCTCTCGTCAAAGAAGGTCGATATTGTAGAATGGCGAATAGATATCAATATCCATCTTTTGAAATTTGGGTTCAGCGCAAAAAAAGGATACGTTGACTCTGTTCAATCTTTCTTTGGGGGGTGGGTTGACCAGATCCGAATCCTTGCTGCCTGGACCCGGATTCTAACAATCCGACAGGTCAAAAGTTGGCGAATCTGGATCCGAGGCCCACGGATTTGCACAATCCAACATATCCTAAATGCCCATGTAAGGCATGCCCTACATACCTTACCTTCGGTGTCTGAGCTACCAGCAGAACCGGACAACCCTGAGTCACCGTCAGACTTTGCGGTGCTGTCCAGGAGGAACTGAGACTTCTGCAGCAGAGAGGCCTGGGAATCTGAAACATACAGAAGGGCAAATTGGAGCAGCCACATTGGAGCAGTCACTTGTGAATAAAGTTAGAAATATTCTCTACTGATGTTCTGTGAAATCAGGTCATCAGGGATAGCAACTCTAGTTTGAATAGGGAGAGTTTATGTGCGTAAAAACAAAAGTCATACACAAGAATGCTTCCTCTGTGCAGAGAGTGCTCAATACCCTCCTATCTCTCAATTATCCGGTCATCCAAGTTACGGGCACGTCGATCTACCGGGCACGCTGTGAGTAATTTTAAATGGAAATATTACTACTCGTTTGCCATGTTTAGTTGAAATAGTGACGTCATATCTCTCACCCTTCCCCATCACAATGTATGTGATTCAGAGTTATGAATAGACACCCTTAGCAAAAAACGTTATGTTGTAACGGTAATACCGTAAGGGGAAAATACCGTGAGTTGGGTTCGACCTTTAGCAAGATGCACGCTATTTTATAGTACGCTGTTGCCACGAGGATAGCTTTTATTTCGCGCGGTACAACCATTTATGTCACCATATATGCGATACCAGGTGAAATGCGTACGGACTATTCAATATTTGGCCAAAACCCGTACCGTTGGTCACAACGATAAATCAGCCCCCATAACATGTTTACGTTATACGTTGCAGCTGCAACGCTATTTGGGTGATCAAGGTACGAGTACCGTAAAACATAGCGTTACCGTTGTTTGCTAAGGGTGTCTATTATTTCCAAGTTATCGGTAGTACATGGTCCGGTTCCAGACTGCCAGGATAAGAGAGGTGTGAGTGTATCTCCAAATGACACAGCTGGCTTAAATGCAAATTCAGCTGCAACCATACAACAGCCTTATGATAAGCGTGATCCACATACAAAGTTTGAGCTCGGTGCAAAATGATGTTTCGTACAGCAACCGCTTCATGGTCAACGACTTCCACTGGCACATGCACATTGTAGATAACAGGTATACAAGCTTCCAAGGACATACCGCTTACCTGGACTGGTATGAGCCATACTTTGAGCAGACACATAGTCAATATGCCTGGACATTTCCTCGGTGAATGCTCTACCAACATTGTTAAGTAGGGCCCTCTTGGCTTGCGGCTCGAGAGGCAGTGAAGAAGCATGTCTTACTACTGCAGCTGCTGCCAGCTGTGCCGTGTTTTCAAGGTGGACTGACGCTGGTGGCTGTGTACTCTGCTGCAATGCAGTTCCTCTCCCAGCAGCATTACCATCAGCTGTAAAGCTGCCAGTGCTAGTGTTAGCTGAGCTGGCAATGGGATGTGTTGTAGTGGCTTGGGTGGATGCACTCATACAGGTCTGGCTAAGACCAAATGTAGTCTCTGCCGTGGTAGAAGGGCCTGACAATGATGATGGTGATCTACCAGTGGAGGAGCAAGCTAAGGCTGCACCGGGCTGCAGAGCAATACCAGTAGGTGGGTGTGCGCCTGCCATAAGTACACCAACACACAGACATATCCGCATCCACAAATGGAATATGTGATTTTGGGGTGCATATATATATATGAGCATGAAAACACTCATACATCAAATTCCATTGATAAAGAATGCCTCCATGGTGATTGGCTGGTGCCACGATACCTCAGTGAATACCATATTGGGAAATTGTACAAGTCTAGTTTTATAATCACCATAAAGCTAACGAGACAGGTCGAAGGAACCTGTACGGGTGGCTGGCGAGACCTGTAAACAGTCATACTATCTGTACAGCATGACATGTAGCAGCAATTGCAAAGACCAACATAACTCAACACGAGGCATACAACTATGGCCAGTGATCAGTTGAATCCATGCCTTAATTATTTTTTTTCATTACCTCATACACCAATCGATATGCGATTTATCTGTATAATTCTTTCAGCATCAGAATCGTTAGCTAAGAAAGTTGTGGACTTCACGCAACTGCATTACAAAGAAAAGGGTTTGTCACCTGACAACCGTTCCATTCACTTAAAAACTGAATAGAGCGGGTGTCAGTTGACAAACTCCCTTTTCTACAATGCAGTTGCGTGATGTCCGCCGCTTTCTTAGTGAATGCTTCAGTAGGTCGTTGTTTAGGACTCCCTTGGAATGGATTAGGAGTGCGTACAAGGCTGAACGAACCAGGCAACAGTTGTTGTTTCTCCTGGATTGTCGTCGTGCCGGTCTTGTCCCTAAGTTCATTGTCAATGCTGTGTAGACTGGCAGGATTTTGTCCAGCCAAAAATTCACAGTAAAGAGGGAAATAAAAGGGGGTTTGTCAACTGACAACCGCTCTATTTAGTTGCAATTCACTCTTGGCGCATGAGCTGGTTGAAAACTCCTTTATTATTGATGTCGAAAAATTATTGACGTTTCTGGCCACTCACCCATCGTCAGAACCAAGAGGGAAAGGTACCTAAAACTTAGCGCCCTCACAGTGGAACTGCTATACCTTGCTATGTCTGTACAGGGTTGTGCACACCATGATTGTGGTACACACATTCGTACACACATTACCTCGGTTTTATCTGCTGAGCTTTTGCATACCCACACTTTCAGCGCACTTCTCCTTGTCTGTTGTACATGCAAATTCATACACTCGATTTCATACGGCTATTGTGTTTTTCGTGTGTTTTGTGCAGGGACATACATGTGCTCTCTCTTGATTTCACGATAAAAAGGCTGGTTCACCCTTTGTAAATTGTTCTTATGATGGGTGACTGGCCTGAAACGTCAATAAATTTCGACATCACAATAAAGAATTTAGTATCTAGCGCATGCCGAGCACACGCCGGTTGGGAATAGCAACTGCATAGAGCGGTTGTCAGTTGATAAACCCCCTTTCTTTATAAATAGGGTAGTTCTGTCCGCAGATTGAGTATTTTGCTCCTGCTTTTGTAGCAGTTGAGCACTCTCATGTGGGGTAATGGAAGTTTCCAGAGGAGGAAGGAGGAAACTGTAGTTATCACCAACCTTCACCGCGCCCAGCTCACGCCGCTGCCGGGCGCCCTGCCATGCAGTATGGAACTGTCCTCAAGGCAGTCATGTATTTGGCAGCCCAGTGAGCTGTCTACCAGATCGCAGCATTTAGAAGCGCCAAATGGGGCAGGGCCAGTCTCAGGCTTGTTGCGTAGGCGGCAGGCCGGCCGGCGACCGTCAAGGCTGCATTCGCATTTGGATCACTTAAGTGATACAGGTGCTTCCAATGCACCCCGTGGCGCATCAGGGGGCTTCTGGGGCCCAGGCAGCACAGCCCCTAAGCGCACCACCATGTCAGATATGCGCAGGTGGAGCAGCAGGGCAAGATGTGTGCTGGAAACTCACCGCCGTCTGGTCGACTTGGTGGCATGACTTTACACAGCTGGCACTCATTACTTGTTATTGCTTGCAGAAGGTCAGAATTTTTTTCCTTTTTCTTTTTCGCTCTTTCCCTTCTTTCAGGCACAACTTCATGTTAGAGCGGCAAATAGCAGTTAGGGACTCGGCTGAGTCAAGCTGGACTCAGCGTGTCAAGTTTGGCATAATACAAGAAGCACGCTATCCCCAAACAGTTGTGTGGTTATTGTGTGAGTGTATGGTGAATGGCTGGTGCCATGACACCTCAGTACATACCAATGTTTTCAAGTCTATTTCACATTCACCATAAAGCTAACGAGACAGGACGTAGAAAATGTATGGATGGCTGGGGTGACCTGCAGACGGCCTTGCCATCCGTACAGCGTGACATGCAGCAGCTATTGCAATAGCGAATACAACTCATCGTGAGGCATGAAGCTGTGGACCATGATCAGTTGACTCAATGCTTTTTATATTCTTGTTTTTGATTCTTCAAATGGTAACCATAGGAATTGATTTATCACGTCGTCTGACACACTCCTAGACTATCCCTAATCAGACATAAATAATATAAAGTACACCATAATACGGTGGTATTCCTGTTCCTGGCGTTCATTGTCGATGTCGCCCTTTGCGACCATGACCATCCCTGCAACTGCCCGTAACTTCTTACTTTGCTTCCTGTCGCGTCCCCTTAGATTGTCAGCTAGGCAAAACTCACCTGAATAATGGCAATGATGAAGTGCTGGTACAGTTGGTACTGCGGCTGTTGCTCCTAGTTCTGACTCTGCTGTTGCTCCATGCGCAAGTTCTGACATTGCTGTTCCAATTGGAAGCCTTGCCTGATGTGGCGCTTGAGGGTTCAATATAGTTGCTGATGAAGCCACCGCTACTCTTCCTGCCATTGCCCCTGCTGCTGCTGCGGGTGTTGCTGCTGCTGCTGCTGCTCCAGCTGCTTCTCCTCCTTCTGCTCCTGGTCTTGCAGCTGCAGTTCTGCTTTTCATCGGTGGACACAGTGGTCCGAATCGCTGTACAAGTGGCGATGGACTTGTTGCCCCTGCAGTGGATTGATACGCTGCATATTCTGCTGACGCAGCCGCTGTTGTCATGCCTTCTTCAGTTGGCATGGTTACAGGTGGGTCTGCACTGGTTGATATGGCGTTGGCTGACTCAGGTTGCCCAACCCTAGACAGCAATTCTGGTCACGAGACAAAATGAATTCAAAGAAAGAAAATGGAAACCCCCACAGGAATGATATAATAATTATTCCCAAGCTTCAGAGAGTTGACTACCACCGCCACGACTCACCGATACCAATGTCTAATCCGATACCACAGGACTGGCAGAAGCAGTTTCTTGATTGGTGTGGCCATACCCTAGCCTTTTTATACTTTGTGAATGATCTGCTGGCCACCCATTACCTAACCAGAACAGAAATACACTACAAGGCTAAAGAGACCAGCAATGGAAATCTTCTTCTGTGCTGTTAGTTGATAGAGTTTGCATTGTGTGCAGAACACAGGTATAAGGCATACACAGGGTAACATGCAGAGACTGCTGATAATTTACAGAAGGTTCACTACACTAATCAAAACAGCATCACGTATCACCTTTCTCTGGATTAGCCACGACACGAAGCATCTCCAAGTGTCGGGCAGTGTAGCCCATCTGGCGGATTGCTGAACATAAGACCAGATAGGATTCAGTTTCTCCAGCAAAAAGTATTGAAATCAATTCTTCATTGTGTTCAGCCGTGCCCTTTTGGTCTTGTATCTTCCTCAAACGTTTCAGTTGGCCAAAGCTGAGTAGTCCCTCTTCTTGAACTAGACCACGAAGCCGAACAGGATCAACACCTTGTAACCACACGTGAATTTTGGAGACAAACTCCGTTGTTTTGAATGGGTTGCCTACATAGAACAAGACCAAAAATCGACCAGAAATGTGTCAGCTTCACAAGCACAAAAATCACCTTAAGTGTATTTGCAATGGGAACTTGAAGAGCTGGACAACACGCTAGATCTTTTTCATCACTTTTCGAATAGTGGATAAAAATAATTCATTTTATGTGCGGTTTGCATGTAACATGTGTGCTTTGGGCAGCAAGGTATATTTAGCCCTGGCACACGCTCAATATTGACATAGTGCTGTGAGTGGTGCGTGTGCATGGGTACAGCGTTGAAAGCACTACCAGGTACACGGGAGTGTCTGCATTTATGTTTGTGCACATGAATGTGTGTGTGCGCGCAAGCGCTTGCGAGTGTGCAGAGGCGGAGGAGTGGCAGCAGGCGTGGGTGTGTACCCGTGGGTCTGGGCTAAGCCATACTTGGGTTCCTATTTTGAAATGGTTCAAGTAAGTATTGGAGTGTGACGTTTTTCCTGGTGCTGCCCTGAGACCTATCAATGACACTAAACTGAAAATATGATTTTCACAAGATTGGCCCGTATCAGGTTCTGCATCTCAGCTCTTCACTTGCAACCTTATGTCGTGACTAGAGACCAGCCTGGTACTACAGACCACTTCGCCGGGCACGGACGGTCTCACGTTCATATTTATGGTTGTGCGGTGCAAACCTCTAACTAAGGACCACCTGCCACTAAAGACCGCTTTCTCTGGCACCAAGGGGTGGTCGTTAGTCACAGGTTTTACTGTTGATATATTGGCAGACTGACAGGCTTGAGGACAGGTAGTGGATGTATTTACGGACAAGCGAGAGAGTGGGAAGTCTGACTGACAGATGACTGGATGGTTGGAGGGCTGGGTCTCTGGCTTCAGGGCTGGCTAGATTACTGGCTGGATGAATAGATAGCTGGCTATCGCGACGGATAGATTGAGGGATACAATTTACCTCGATGGATGAATGCATGGATGTATGAATGGATGGATGGATGGATAGATGGGTGGACTAGTGGATAAACGGATGGATGGACGGATGGATGGGTGGATGAGTGGACTGGTGTAGGCCTCGGCGGGTAATGCTAGCATTGTAACTGGCATTCCGAGCATCGTTTTGAGAACTAGCAATGCTCCAGCATTGTACCCGGAGTTGGAGCCAAAACAAGCATTAGCGCCCAAAAGTGTCATTTTCTCACTTCATGAGTGTGCATTACTGAATAAAACAGGAGATCTACAATGTAACGTACACACTGTACTTTGTACCAGCGGCTTTTGGCAGTTTTGCTTAAACGTTAGCCTGCGACTTCGCAACATGCGGCTCTTGTTGCGAATCTTAGTGGCAGCTGCTAGGTAAAGACGTACCACGTTGATGCCATCATGGGAAACGGAAAGAAACCTTGTCTTTCCTATTCACAGAGTCATGCAGTGCTTGCTTGCTTGCACCATGAGTACATCAAATGGAAATGTGTTGGAAGTCCCTGATTCTTCGGAGGAAGAGAGTGAGGAAGATGAGTACGAGACAGAGGAGGATAATAAGGAACACGAGAACGAGGCAGAGGTGGAGGATGAGCCCGGTGAGGCATGCGCACGACTGCCCAAAGCCAAAGGAGCAAGCATATCGAGGGTTAGATCACATATATTGTACTTTTTCATACCACACAATATACCAAATTTCCAAAAATAATAGCATTCCGTATGCACCCTCAAAGTACTTTGAAGACTGTCGACGTAGGGTTCTGATTTACTGTTATTCACTGCTAGTTCATGATAGCAACTTCAGTTCCACATCATTTGAAATAGCATCACCATAATCTACTTTCAAAGTACTAGGTACTTCCAATAGCAGTATTCCGTGTAGTGTGACTTACATTATGACACATTGCCATATGAGTGGTTCACATTGCCTTTTCAACTAGCATTGCAAGTCCAAATTAGCATTCTAACGAGCATAATATGACCGAATAACTAGCAATACTAAATGCATTTTGAGCTGAAATAACTAGCATTACCCGCCGAGGCCTAGACTGGTGGATGGACGTATGGATGGAGGGATGGTTGGATAGATGGGTTGACTAGTGGATGGAGGGATGGATGGGTGGATGGGTAGTTGGAGAGATGGGTGGATGGATGGATGAATGGATGGATTGATGGATGGATGGGTGGATGTGTGGATGGGTAGACAGATGGGTGGGTGGATGGATAGATGGATTGATAGGTGGATGGATGGACAGACGGATGGATGGATGGATAGAAGGATGGATGGATGGATAGATGGGCGGACGAGTGGATGGAGGGATGGATGGAGGGATGGATGGATGGATGGGTAGTTGAAGGGATGGGTGGATGGATGGATGAATGGATGGATGGATGAATGGATGAATGGATGAATGGATGGATGGATGGGCGGATGGGTGGATGGGTAGCCAGATCGGTGGGTGGATGGATGGATGGATGGATGGATGGATGGATGGATGGGTGGTTGGGTTGTTAGAATAGTGGGTGGATGGATGCTGGATTATTGGAGAGATAGATGAAGGGAGTGAGTGAGTGAGGACATAATAGTATGAGATGGAGGGATGATGGCATGAAGGGCTGGAGGGTTGGATGGATGATTAAACAGGCGGCCGGAAGGACAGATGAATAAATCGATGGGAACGATGATGGAACGCTTGAATGTTGGAAGGCAGATTGATTTTACGTTCTCCCAACTTGAACTTTACTTACCTGCCATCTGGAAACCT